AAGCAATTATCCCTGTGTACTTTGAAAATTACATAGGCAGGCGATCCGCTTCGTTCGTTATAAACGATCATGGACACCTTCGAGGACAAAATCCTTCTTTTTTAATATCAACCATAATTCGTTATCTTTTTCTTAAATAAACATTTTTTATAGCTTTTTTTTTAATGATTCATTGGAAAGTTAACATAACCCATTTTTGACAAATACATTATCGTGATGAAAAACGCCTACAGGTTCATAGACCGATACCTATATTATAATTTATCGCGGATACGCGTCGTTTCGTAATCGAAACGCTTAGAACAACCCAACATGAATAATTTATATCGAGTCTCTTTATATCTCCGTGCTGTAACCACTCTGTAACCGATGTTAGGTGCCCCGAGCGAGTTTCTCGCTCACGAGATCAAGTGCAAAATTGTGCAAGAAATTGATGAGAACCACGGTGTAGTTTCTTAATTGAAGAACTACAATTATTATGATTGTTTTTTGATTTTTAGTAGACAATAAGGGATTATTGCTTATTCTTTGTTGATGTTGAATCACGTGAAACGATGATCACCAAATCACGCGAACCGGCAAAGAGGTACACAATCGAGAACCATCTACCTGACAAATGGTCCGCGAAGAAAGGCAAACCTTTCTCACGACCCGAGAGAACACTCAACAACAACGATTCTCTCCTTCAAGTTCTTTTCTAACATTTTAAAGATAAATTATTTAACATGATATGACCCGATTTCTTTCCTTCCTGTTTATTTATTACAAATTTTTTTTTCGAAATCGGTTTTTTTTTGCGATATGACGCCGTTCGGAGAGATATCAAGAGTTGAACGACCGGGTATCGCGTAAAAGCCGGCGATATTTGCTTCTTCTACCTTTTTCACTTTACTAGTTGTAACATAGCGACGTGTCTACGGACAGCGACATGCGGAAGAAGAACAAGAAGTGAGAGATATGTTCGTTCCGTCAGTCAGTCACAAAAGAGAGACAATGGCTTCTTGTTACGGTACATTCCATTTACGGAGGTTGCTTCTCATTTAAATGTCTCTTTGGAAACAAGAAGATATTGGGAAAGAATTAGATTTTACAAAATTCACATCAGTATACTATGATACTGAAAATCAGTGGATTTACCATTTATGGCACATTTCTGTTTGAAGACCATCAAAATGTTACAAAAGTTTCTTAGAATCTTAAAAATGTTTTTAAGAAGCAATTTTTTTTGCCCTATCTTATTGAAATATTCATTTTATATACAGCTTCAACGTGTGTAGGAGTTGGCTTTGGAAACAATGAATGAACAGAGAAAAAGAGAGAGAGAGAGAGAATCACGCGTGAATGGCCGACGCCTACTACGTGAACGTTCGAAAGTGGTCCGCGCAGTTTCCATTCAATGAGTTGTTGCTCTTTCGGTTGTACATATATTCGAATCTTTCTCTTTTTTTACATCGTTTATTTTTTGCCTTAATCTCTTTTCTATAATTAAACTTCTAATTTTCTTACTTTTCCATTCCACGTTTGGAATGGAATTTCTAATCGATGCGAACTTGTATTAACTCGCACGTGGGTGAAACGTACGTGTGATAGCATAAAATCTTTCTCTCTTGTGTAGCGTAGCGTGTACGTATCCGATTTATCTTTCTAAAACGTAAATGGAAACGTCCGTTTTAATTGTCCAGCTACCGCTAGAGACAACCAGTTGGTAATATGAAGACCGTAAAGGATTAATAGGCGCCGTAGATTGCGTTTAAATCGAATACGTTTCATCTTGGTGTTTAGTCTTTAGCTTTATTGATTTAAATTTAGGTATTATAGAATGGTTTTTGAACGATGCCAAGTGTACAGAAAAGTAACTGCGATTCCAAAAGTAAATCAGAAGAGTGTGTATTGTTTGGCAAAATCTGTTTGGCCAAAATATCATCTTCAAACTCTGCATTGAAGTAGTGTGAACTTTTGTTCAAACTCGTGGATATGCGAAAGAGATTCCAGCGATGACACTGACATGGCCAAATTACTAAATGGTTCTACAACAAGATGATCATGTCGCGCAGAGGAAGCTGACACATACGATTTCTTTTTGTATTGGCAAAAAAAAAGGCAACATCAAACATACTACCTCCTAACGTTTAGTAATTGATTATTAAAATAATACACCCTGTATAATTATGTAGATATTTTCTGTAAACATTTAGAAAGTATCTTTGGGGTGATGACCTACGAAAGCCGTTAATTGAAGAATAATATCCGTCAACGAGACCGCGACACATTCACAAGTAGACGACTAAGAGACGCGCGCGGGTGCTAAAACTGGAGAGACGCGGTTGTTTACTCGACTTTGAAGTGTCAACTCGACGTCTTTTTTTTGTTCATCTTCTCTATCTCGAAAGAGGAAGTCCTCGTTGAATTATTACGTAGTTCTAAAGGTTTCGAAGAAGACACGTTCTTTATGTTTTTTTTCCGATTCTTTTAGCTCTATCTTTTGTAGTCTTTTTATGGATAGTTTTTCCGAAAATCATTGTTTGATCTCTTAAGAAACAATTTACAAGTTCACAGCTGATTTGAATACGCCGCCATCTGGTTTCGTATGGGTTTAGAAACTCTATATATATTCCTACAATTCCTGTTGTGTTTAAGTTTTCAATACCCATTTGCGTTTCGTTTATTTTTGAAACACCAAGTGTTACAAAAAATGTTAATTACCATGGGGGTAGGAAACAGACAGGTGGATCGGTGGATAAACTGAGTTCGTTTCAAAATTTAATGATTATACGTAACGGAAATCGTTAAAACACACTTTTTTTGTATTGAAATGGTTTGTCGACCACACTCTTATTCCCCCATTTATTTCCAACAACGGTTATTTTTTGTCTAGAATCAACAGGTCACAAATTTTAGGTCACCTTTAATTGTTAAATTGTGTAAATTCACAGATTAACACTGACAAGTAGCAGAAGTGTGATTCAACAAGAAGGAGTTCTTTCTCACGATTTTCTTTCAGCATGATAATGGTTAGATAATTTATTTCCAAATAAATGAATAAGGCGAAGAGGACCTAACAAATAGTCAACCAGATCGCCTAATTTAACGCCACAAGACTTTTTTCGATGGCATTATTATAACCCAAACCTTAAAGTTTAGAAGACCTTCGTGGAATTTCAGAAAACCAATACAATTCGTTATTTTTTTCTGATTATAAAAATATGGGGTTAGCTATTTAAAAATAGATCTATGTCTATTTTTTATTGTTTTAGAATAAAGCTAAAAATATGCTTTTTTCAGTAACATCATAATCAACTATAGTTTGTATTTAAAAAAATACAACTTTATGTTGTATCTCAAAAATTATCAGCTATGTTTAAAATTTTTTAACAGCAGTATATTCTACTCAAAAAAGTGTCTTAAGAATGTATTAACCTCATTTCTCTAATTTCAAAAATAAACGAAATATGAGAATTTTTTGAAATCGCTAAAATTTGACTTTTTGGCTTTAACTTAAAAACAAAAGAAGATAAAGATTTGGTCTTTGCAGGATTGGATTGGTCTCGGTAAAAGAGACCGAGACATGGCAACTACTTTTTTCGTATCTCTTATAGTTTCTGAGATAGCCTATAATAACACCCAAATTTGCCCACCCTGTACATAACCCCAGATATCTCAAAATCTTGACATTATAGTCCAATTCTGACCTTGAATTATGTTTCTACGCATAAAATTACTCCGACAACAAAACCTTACAAATTGTTATTATTTTACTTACACAAAAAATAAAGTCTATAAATAAACATTTACAGGTAAAATTTACAAATTTTAGTTTATTTTATTATTTCCTTAAAAGTTAAGTCTATTATTCAAATCAATATATTACGAGGTTAGAAGAAAATTTAAGGGTGAATTTTTTCGTAGATTCGCCGATGATTCATGATCCCTTTTCAACTGAAAAAAAAAGAACCTTGCGATAATGAATCACCTAATGGCGGTGAAACGGGATAATCCCTTCTACCCTAGTTTTTGGTCCTGTGGGTTTATTCTGAGCCGGTCGTCCGTGACTTTTACTCTTCGAGAATTTAAAAATCTCTCTTTTGATCTTGCTGACTCATCTCATTATCGTCTTCGAAGTAATTTATTTAAAAAAATTATTAATTAAAAAGAATGTTGTGCTAATTTATTATAAAGAATAACCATTAAGTACCGTAAAACAGCGCGGATATTGTAAAAAGAAACAATACCTCGTTTCACGCAAGGTGTACTGAATAGAGGCAGATTTTTTTTCTAAATGGATATTTCAATGCACAATGGTTTTATTATGACGAGAACCGATTCAAAGAACTTTACAGAAAAAGAGTAGGATGGAAAAAGAGAAATTGAGAGTGTCGATTTTTTGTTGACCAACAAAAATAAAATGTTTTTCTTTTTTATTTTTAATGGTTATTTTAAGTTGTGGTATTTCTTTGAGATAAAACACCTGTGTTTCTTGGCACTATCTTAATGTTGTGGAAAGATGCCATTTTGAGGTTCTCTCGCAATTTTTGGTCGTTTTCAAACTTTCGCCGTTTCAGCTCGACGAGATGTTTCCACCGACCGTTTAAAAATAGATACGATATGCGCGGAATGTCCCCTTCTTTCTCTCTTAGATAAAAAAAGGAATCGTATGAATCAAACCGAAACAATCTTTATTTTCAGAAATTACTTTCAAAGTACACACATTATAAACAATTTCGAAGTAAGAATTTGACCTAAAATGACTATCAACAAGTAGTCTTTTTGTTTTAGGTCACCTTTAAAAGTCAAACTATGTAAAACTCATACATACAAAGAGGATAACACTCGTTTAACAAACTGTTATCTCTCCCAGACACATTCGGAACATTGTTTCGGTTAAAGAATATCAAATGAAGTCACGTCGTGACAGGAAATGAAATCGACATGACAAAACTTTCTACATTAATACAATATTATTAAAAAAAAAATTGTTATAATTTATTTTTTTTTATTTTTAGGGCATCAAATGGAGAAATAACAACAATCGAAGGCGGCGGCGGTCACGAAAAACCACGACTAACGCCATCTGCGCGTCAAGTGCACCCCGTTTCGGATGAAAAAACTCACGTCCTGGCCGCCTACGAAAAAAACGTCGTTGAAGTACGTTCGAAACGTGGGGCACCACCGCCCCCTATGATAGATTTAAATGCAAGTCCCCCGCCGTATCCGAAACGTGCTAGTTTAGAATCGAATCCAAGTCCGACAACCTACCCTTTAGCGCCGAATATCGTTGTAGAGGGCGGAAGGATCGAATTCGCTAAACAACCGTTAGATGGCGGCGGTTTCGTTTATGACGTTGACGTCGTGACGCCGCCTGCTACACCTCGACTTGGTGCTCGGATAACCGTTACTAGAGGGCAGCAAACGATCGATGTTGAGGGTGATGATGAAAAGTGTGATGAAGTTAAGGTAGGTGGCGTGGATTTTTTTAAGTGAGCGGAAAGCTTTTTGATGTTTTTTTTTTAATGCTTTGTTCCTCATGAGAAAATGGAAGTCAATTAGCTTGACATTCCGGGCGTATCTCTTTTAAAAAAATGCCGACTTCAGATTGCTAAAAGGTCTTCTTGGAATTAAGTGCCCAATGTTGTTTTTAAATCGCGATTATTAATCCTGAAGTTTCTTTTTTGTTTATTTCCAATGTCAGGTGAGGTTGTAAATTTATTAAGCTAAACGATATAATAAGTTGAAAACATATTGAAAAAATTAACATAAGAAATGATAAACACAATATTTTAGGGTGTATTTAGATTATTTATTTTTTTTTGCAATTTATTGATTTGTGAGTTGTGGTTTAGCGATCCTTTGTGTTATTTATACCCCAAAAATGTCGAGTAAATGACAAATGTTCGTAACCCGCACCTTGATTTTCGCTCTGTCCGGGCATTTCCCCTCGGTTTTTCGGGGAAATCGGCCGGAAAAACTGATAGCGTCATCGCTTGGAAACGGTATTAGATAGATGTTAAATCTCCCCGTACAGACCATTTTATTAGGAACATTACCCCATTTAAAAAAAAAAATCCCTACGTTTTTATTACTCCACCTAGCGGTAATCTTAGTAACTTGAAAATACCCTCAAGTGATTCCCCGAGGTCGTTTTTATTATGAATATTTTTATCTTAAATTTGTGCGATGAATAGTTTTGGATTTAGATAGTTTTGAAAATGTATTTTTTTTAAACACTCGGTATATACATCAAAGTAAATCTTTATAACTCAAAAACGGCTTTAAGTACGTTAATGAAATTTGTTGTATAGTTTTTGAATTATAATCTTTGAGACATATCAAATTTTGAGATAAATTCCTCAATCGGAATACTGATACTTTACCTGCTTCTAACTCTAACTGCCATTTTTAATGGAAATAATCTAATAAAACTTGGAAAATCCATTTTGGCCGATGGTGATCTTCTACAAAGCATATCTACTATATATTAAAAATGTTCAAATATTAAATTTGGCTTAAATTGGAAATTTGAATCTTATTTAAAACCCTCATAAACTTACACAAATATTAATTTTTATAAACGCTGACTTCCATATAATCTTATATTTACTCAGTCCACACCTAAAACGTTTACTAAAAAACCGCAACCCTCAACGTTTTTTATAATTAAAGATTCTTTAGGTCGATATAGCGGGTAAGCTTAAAACTGTCTTTAATTTGAGAACTTAGTCCAGCGTAAAATTAACAACCGGCACGGTTTTTCTGGTACATTTGAATCGAAAGTACCAAGGGATGCTGTAAACGTTTCTATAAAGTCGCCATAAGATCGACCGCAAAATCTTGGTTAAAACGCTTTTTTTTACTTCTAACAAAGCCCGGGTGATTATGTAACTCTCTATTTCGCTTCTTAAGGGAGAAATAATTACGATAATTAACGCGTTGGCTTCGCGGTAATGACACGTTAATACCAGATGGCAAAGTTCCTTATAGGGGCGTCGAGAAACTTCGTTGAATGCTCTGTATCCTTCCTGAGGCTTGAAGTTGAAGCGCTATCCGAGTTGATGAATTTCGTCTCTAAAATCTTTCAAGCTTGAAAATAATTTGGTTGCAAACTGGTCTCGAGGACGAGATTTATTGGGTATTAAATCCTTTCTCCTTGAATTTGAAACGAAAAGCATCTGCGACAATCTATAAATTTTCAATTGAGGGTGGGGATACGAAGTTTAGAATCGTTTTCAATTTAAAATAAATAAATAATTATTTTTGTAACTTGGAGAATTATTTTTCTTTCTTCGTTTAACTCACCCTCAACTTTCTTGTCATGTTTCAAATCGAATTACGAAACCGGCGACACAATCCCTCTCCAACTCTCTTCTAAAGATAATTAATCTTAACTGTAATTGTATGAAAGATGATTATTACCGTTAAAAGCTTTTTTGAATTCAATTAAATCACCCCTATAACTACAACACCCTGTATATCTCTTTATTATTGACTATGCATATTATACCAATAGAAAAAAATTTGAATATTCTTACTAAATACTGCTGTTCTTCCAGCAGTATTTAGTTTCCTATTGGCCATGTTTAATCTTCTATTAAGAGTATGGTGTTAATTAATTATTGTACCCGACGTCTTCAATGCAAATATGCAACCAAATACGCAAATCGCGTATTGCAATACCAATACTGTGATATTGGTTGCATACTTGCAATGATGACGTCTGGTACGATAATTAATTACACACTGTATGTATGTATATGTCTTTATTGTTGATTATGCACATCATACATATTATATTTATAACTTTACAAGTCTTTTTAATAATTAAAGTTATGTGAGGGTAAAACCTCTTTCCATTTTAAACCAAAAAGGTCTTGGTTTATTACAAAACCGTGTCCACGCATTTTAAACGTTCCCCTTCATGTATATATCCAGAAAGGGGTAAGGGTTTAGTTTACATAAATGCTTACAACCCCTAAAGTTACGTTATCATCCTTCCACTTGGATTTAACTTTTCAACAAATTATCAGAAAATTTTAATTTTATAACATCTTTATTTTTCTTGTTAATTTATTGATTTGTGAAACTTGAATGGGGTGAGATCGAGTTCGTTAGTGTAAATTGAACGAAGGTGTGCAAATTGGAGCCGTTGACGTCCCGACCCCGTTCAATAATTGCATTTGGGGCTACGGGAAAAAGTTGCTAATGAGTTAATTAGTCAGTGGCGTCATATGGCGTTTCTACTACGATCCGTGAGGATGAACGATTGAGAAGGGAGGATGAAAAGGGGTGGAGAAAAGTGCGCGGAAAATTGGCTTGGATTCAATTTAAAATGCAAATTGGACCGTTTCTAAAACAGTACCCGATCAATTCACGGGATTCATTCTCCCCTTTCGTGTTACGTTTTCGCTTCATTATAATCTTTACAAATCAATAGATTTAGAAACGAGAAATTTTTTTTGTTTCTCTCATTCAATACAATAACCCCATTAGTAGACCAAAATCAGGAAGCGAAAAGCCACCCCCTTTAGGACCTCGGGACAAGAGAAACATTACACAAATGAATCGAATGAAGGCACGGTGATTTACAGGATACAAGGGCGGAGCTTCTTCTTCGGACGGAAGAGGGCAAGTTAGAAGGTGGTTGGAGATGGGAAAAAAAGCTTAAGGGGAAATACGCGAAGGATAAAATAGGGGATCGGGAATAAAGGGATAAGGGGAAGGCGAGTGGATAACGTTTTGTGTCACGCCAACCGTATTAACGTTTTTTTTTTTAAACAGTTTTCCTATATTTTGATCAAAATACTAAAAGAAACGAAAAAATTGACGTTTAAAAAAATCGTTTCTCTCAAGCGATATATTTCAGTGTGGTTTATTAAATTTGTTTTCGGGGTGGTAACGATGTCCGATAAGATATCCCCTAAACGTACCTGTCAAAATATATAATAGAATAAATTTTTCGTGTGGAAAAATAATGGGTGGAGTTAAAGGGGTGCTTTATTTTTTGTTAAAGTGAGAGAAACTTTTTTTTTTGTTCGTTTTGGGGAGATCTGTTTTTAGAGGAGGATAATGAAGCACTTAGTGACGCCCTCTCTTGGGAGTTCTAGTCGTAATCCCGAATTCCATAACACGTTGTGGATTGTCTCTGAAATCCTTGGTCAGCTTTTGGTCAAACACCCCCCATAAAAAAAGCTTCGTTCATCTTAAGAATTGTTCGATGGGTTTTTTTGGATTGTTATGTCCTTTAGAAAACGTATGGAAACTTTTTGGTCACTTACAGAAAGTTTTAAACACGATAATTGAGTAATTAAAGCTTTTCGAAAGGATGTGTTTTGGGAGGATGTAATATTTCAAAGGAGTTAAAATTAAATGTTTTTGGCTCGGGTAGTTTGTTCTATATTTTACCAATCGATATTGGAGGTGGCATTATTTTATATGGAAGTAGTATGTAGTTTGATATGTTTTCTGACAGCACTTTTCAGTTTTCTGATGGTAATATTTACTCAATTATTACGAGTATTTTAGCTTCAAGCTGTAAGTATTTAAGCAATATCTAGGTATCTATTAGTAATATTTAGTCCTATGACAACGTTATATGGTCCGCTGTTAATGTTGCCACAAGATTTAATTTGACAATTACAATCTCTAGCAGTATCATCTAGTCTTTTGCTAGCAGTACCATTCTGTTACCAGTAATATTCTACTTCCTATTAGCAGTATATGGTTTTTCTAACGGTATCTACTCTTCTACAAGCAAGGTGTATGTTTTTTCCAGCAATGTCCAGTATTCTATTAGCAGTATCAAATTTTTGCCATCAGTATCTACCCGTTTAGTAGCAATATCTAGTCATTCCAGCAACGTCTAGTCATCTACAAGCAGTGTTTAGCCCCCTACAAACAATATCTTGTCTTCTGTCATATATCTACTAGACGTTTTATAATTATATCCTTTTCTAGTCCGTCATAAAACAATACTATTTGCAACCAAGGTAGGGGTGATCTTCCACATAGCATATCTAGTATACATTTATTGTATATTCTTCATTGAACTAAAACTAGATCTAGAACTAGAAAGTTTCGGGTTTTAACCGTGCGTCTTCAGACGTAAAAATGTTATAATAATGAAAATTTTAATGAGCAAAATTAATTTTAATGAGGAATAAGAGAAAAGACTGTAATAAAAGAATTTCGAATATAAGGATCATTAGTTATTTTCTCTTGGGTCATATAAAATAAAATCCTCAAAATGGGGGGCAGACACAAAAGGGGATGGAAAAGAGGAGGATGTCGTTTTTCCACAAACATTTTCGTCTAGTTAGCGTCAGGGTTTGGCGTTAGTTGTCCGTCAGATCAAGAATGAAATTCACCCCCTATTGTTACACCAATGAGAAGAAATTCATCTCTTTCCAAACTTTTATCCTCCACATTTATTTATTTATTTTTTTTGAGAAAAGAATAAAAATCAATACAACAAAATTTATTTTAATCCGATCTTGAAATGATCTTAATTTAGATGCAATCAATTAGCATTATCGTGAAATAAAAGTAAAGGAAGATTCTTCTCCGCCTTAATAACAAACAACATCTTCTCCATAACCACCTATCTCCCTTTCTCTTCGTTCGATTTCGATTCTCTTTCGATTTTCAAGACTTGAACGTCTACTTACAAACGTGTACGCGTCTATTTATAACCGCTAATTGTAGTTCTCGCTCGTATGTATACGCTTTGTCGGTAGATGGCGGCACCGATATCCGGTCTTATCTATCGAGAAAATCGCTTCCACGCTTTCTGTTACGCAACTTTAACAACTATTACCCAACCCAAACCCGCTAGCAGCTTGTTCAAACTTAGCTACCGTAAATTGTTTATGTAAACATTTTATGTGTTATTGTAAATGTAAATACAACTTTTAATTTTGTTATAGGAACAATTGGAGATTAGAGTTTTAGAATTAGAGACGGCCTTGGAGATGGCAAGAAAAACTGAGTTGAAGGACAAGCAGGCCTTGGCGAAAATTCAGCGCCAATTGTCAAGGGTGAGTGTTTTTTTTTTTTTTTGATGAAGTAGTCGCGTCCTTTTGTTTCCGAGCGTTCATCTGCATAGGGAGAGAAAGGATCGATAGAGAGCGCGACGATCGCAACGGTTGCGGCAGCAACGGCGGCATTTCTCGATTGTTTGTCTTTCGTTTGTTTGTTATAACCCGGATCTAACTTAAACCGGAAGCTATATTAGTTTTCCGAAATATTAGTGTACCAACGAAAATTTAATTAATCCAGACTTTATTCAAAAACTTTTTTAGTTTCATTCTATCGATTGTCGAAATTTTCCGTTAGGTGGCGTGACCGTGCACGATAAATAAAATTTTCTAGGGTAACCCCGTAAAAACAGGGTTGCGTTGTTGATAATTACGGCTGGTAGCATGCGAAAAAAAGGGAAAGTTACGTATTCATTGGGCTTTCCTGGTTTGGTGTCTTAAAATAGGGGGCGCGCGTGACTCACAAGGAAAATACACTTTTTTCTTTCATCATCTTTTTTGCTTTAACTTACATAATTATTAATATTTATAAAATACGACTTAATAAGTAATGAGAGTGGAGAAAGGGGGAAGAGGGGGTGGTTTAAAGTCCAATTATCTCGTTGAAACAAAAGGATCTTCTCCACCACCTTATCATTTGTCATTAGAACGTCGCGAAGGGAAACTTTAGTAAACCTCCCTGGTTAGTGTTACTGAAGTACGAGTGGGGGAGAGGAGTTAAAACGGTAAAACCCGGTGGTTTTAGGGAAACGGAAGTAGGGGGAGATGTAGAAACCCTCGGCAATCACTCAAAGAAAACCATTTCCGACTCTAAGCAGTTTGAAATTAAAGCGAGAAAAACGAAATTTGAAAAGAAAACACTATATATCAAAAAATTTTTTTCATTTTGATGAATAAACGGATGTTTTATAAATGTAAAAGTTATTTCCCGTTTTACAATTTTACGATTCAATTTTAAAAAGGTAAAAAGGGTTTCTATACCGGGGGGTCCACATTGAAATGAACGTCGCATCCTGTCTAGACTCGGTCCGTATTCAGCCGTTCGTTTTAAACGGAGAAATCTTAATAAATACGAACCGGGAGCTCCGTGGGGTTAATAAATTTTGCGACGACGTCGACGTCAATAAACTCGCGCTTATTAAACGTTATTAAACGCGCACGTGTTTCTCACCTAACATTTACTATTTAAACGATTTCACCAGATAATAAAGAAGTTGTTTTAATGATTATAAAGTATACTTTTTATGTTCGATTAATTCTAATGATTTTCATAAATAACAATAATATTTATTAATTATGTAAATTATCGGGTCGATTGCAAAGATAAATTTGAATAAGCTTCTTTTTATGGCTTTTTGATATTCAAATCAAGATGATTTTATTTAGCACCAATTCTTATACGTTTCAACTACTGCAATAAAAATATACAACAATCTAGCGCTGAATTACAATTAAAACTACACCTAGAATCATTCCGGTTTAGCCATCTTGAGAGACGCACGGCTAAATCCGATTGATTCTAGTTCTAGGTCTAGTGTTAGTTCTAGTTGCACTAGCACTATCACTAGAACTAACACAAGACCTAGAATAGAAACGTTCGGACTCTATTTCCAAAACCAATCATCATAAGAATCTCGATTCTTTCAGTTTCAGTAAGCGTCATTATTACTTTCTTACTTATCGAACAGTCAATAATTAAAAAATAACCAATAATGAATAAACGATAAGATCAAATAACAACGAATAGCGATGAATAGCAACAAATAATAACGAATAACAATGAATAACAACAATTAACACAAGGAACTCCACAATACTACTCAAAATAATCTCATTACCGCACAATAAACTGTTTCAAATCGAATTTTGACACTTGGAAATAGACTGCCTAAGTCTGACATCACAGAGGTGGGCGGAGCTTATACTGACTCCAAACAATTTCGTTGCTAACCACAGTTGCTAAGATAAATCGCCAAAAAATGTCATTTGAAATGTCATCACTTAGTTTATTTTATTTTAATACTAATGGAAAATTGCATATGGTGATTTACCGTTAGCAACACAGTTAGCAACAAAAATGTTTGGAGTCAGTATAAGCTCCGCCCATCTCTGTGACGTCAAGGCTTAGGTTGTCTATTTTAAATCAAAACAATTGGTTGCCATGGTTACGCACGGCTACTACTATTTTTTATATCAAATGAATGGGAGATAATGAAACTTTAAATTAATTTTTCTCAAAAATTTTCTTATGTAACCGATATTAATATTTATTGTACATAATTCAGAAAAAAATCCTCTTTCAAATTCCGATATAAAAAATCATCATAACTCGTTTAAAAATGTCGGAAAAAATTTAAATCTTTAGACCCATTTCAGCGATTTTTTTTATAAATTGTCAACAAAGTCACTGATGAGGATATATTCCCATTATGCAAATTGGTTTTATTGGAGTCATAACAAATAATCATGCTTCCATGGATTAGGTTATACACCAAATTATATGAAAGCTGAAATTCATCATCCTAGCCACGGATCTAGATTATAGAGTACAAGACAAACGCTTTAAAAAATCGTTCTCCTTGGTTTCCAATATGTTAAATCAAAATGTTATCAAATTGAGCGTAGCACTTCTTCTGGTTCACTTGACATTGCATTTGTGAATCCCTTGGTTTGGAAGTTACAGAGCCGTCATTATGGAGAAATAATCTTTAAATTTGTCACTCCACATGGCGTTATAGCTTTGGAATTGGAAAAGTTTGCTGAAAGGTTTTCAAATCTCGCTGGTGATTAATTTATCTCTAAAAATTAAATATCTAGACTAATTTTAATCAACAATAAATTTTTTTTAGGATTACCTTAATTATAATTTTCTTCAAATTTATTTTCTGATTTTCTCTTAAATTGTCATTTCAAAACGTCCCTAGTCTGATTTTATTTGGGTCTTAAATTCCAACTAATAGTCGTTTCATCTGCAGACCTTCTCGTGCTGATGCTGTTTTAAATCGTTCTTCCGTTCAATTTACCTAACCTTTCTCAAGTCTTGCAGTCTCTCACCCCTCACTTCTTTCTTTCTAGGAGCTATTAACCAAGACTAAATGAGCGAGGATTCTTGTTTTTTGAAATTTTTCTTTTAATCAAAATTGTTTTTTCTCCTCGATTTTATTGAGAAATTTGATGTTTACACAAAAGAAAGGTATTAAAATTGAGAGTTTACGATGAAGGGGGGTAAAATCGGATCTGGATTTTTTAAGGTGCCCTTTTTTGCGGTCACGCTGAGGATGTTGAGTGTAAATTTCCCGTTTTTACGACCTCGAAAGCATTAAGCCTCGAAAAATGCCTAATAATAGTTTAGAGGTGATGTCGTTACCTAAGAAAAGAATCGTAATTTTCTTTTTAATATTTTTTGGGGAGGGAAAATCAATAATAATTGTTATATAAAAACTTTTTTTTATCGATGGAATTTTCCAAACGCCACCATCTTTGCTTCCTCATTAACAGGAGTTTTCGGTAATAATTCATCATTAAATCGTGATATATGTTAACATTAATTCATTTTTTTTTATGAAATTAATAACATTCAAGATCAAACGGTGCTCCGATGTCGTCGAATAAATCGTCTCTTATTAGCGACGGTGCCACCGGTCGACGCGTAATTATTATTTCAGCCGGCCCGTATTAATCAACGTGAATCAACGTACATTTTTGTTGGGGTTAAAAGCGGGACCGACGACCGGCGGCGGTGTTATCGTTGTACGAACGAAGAAAGAGGAAGAAACAGCAACGGTGGCACGACGGAGAAGATGCCAAAGTGGCTTAAAAAGCCGCGAGATCCCCGGAGAGAGAATCTGCCGGTTTTTAATAGTCGATAAACTGCTCGCATTAAGCTGGAATTCGTATTATGTTCGGACTTGGTTAAAGGCAAAAAAAATCTCTCGCGGTAAAACCACCGAGAGTACTTTGAAAGGAGAAAAGGTGGAGCGTAATATGGACGGGCGCCTGCGGGACACGGGTTTCGAGGTAATTACGTACCGTGGAATTAACCAACGTTGTTATGTTGCAAAGTGAAGAGGAGAGTGATAAAATAAAAGAATTTATAAACATTTTTTTAAGAAATCTTAGTTGACATCAGGGATTTTAATCAGTACTAATTTTTTGGCTTTTTCCACTCCTCATTTGTTGCACACATTGAAGTTTATTGAAGCTGAAGAACAAACAACACATAAAAATTGTTTTAAAGTTGGAAGATGTGTTAGAAGATAGTGTTAGTTCTAGTGCCAGTGGTAGGTAGCGCTAGTTAACATAAGATATCTAAGCTATGTTGCATTTTATATAGGACAGTGCAAGTAGTTACTTGTTACTCGTAACTAAGATTACTATATATTGTAAATTATATAAAATTCCCGGTATAAAAATATGAATTTCGAGTTAAAGTTTTGTTGTATCTCTTAAATACATAAACCAAGATAGGTGGTTGAATTATGGTTGTCAATGTGTTACTTCCTTCGAGGGCGATAAATCTTTACAGGATAAACACGAATCTATCAACGTATCCTTCGACCATAACTCAAACGATCGAGAAATAAATTTCAACTACGAAATATTAGGTACCGTTAAGGAAGGGTGGTTTAAAGAAAATGGAAGTGTTAGAAAAACATTTAAAATAACCGAAAAAACCAAATAAATTTTCTTCGTCAAAACACAAAACAATCACTCCCACCATACACATACAATAAATATTCATAAACGTGTGGATTTATGGCAATTAGGGTTCGAAAACCGCCGGCACCTATTCGCGTACAAAACCTTCCCCCTTTCAGCATACTCCCCTTTCGGAGAGTAGATACGCTTGTACCACGTTTTGGGGTTGAAGCGACGCCCCTTTTAATGGGGAGATCCAGTAATTAAAAGGTCCGTCCGGCCTTTGAAAACGAACTACGACCCTCCACCACCATCCTGAAAACCAAAGCCTTCACCAAAAAACGAAAGAGAAATTTTCCGAACCTAATCCACAAGTTTAAACTCTAAATTATTTATTTAGAAATGGAAAGCCAATTTTAATTTCCAACTTTGTATATTGCTGGTTAGAGTCCTTTAATTAATGTCTCATAATTAATTCAAATATGCATATATAATAATTAATAATATAATAAATAATGGCTCCTCCACCAATTATTTTTTGATGTTTTTTTCTTTATAATTTTGAGGAGGAAAAATAAAATTAATCAACGAAGAAGCATTTCAAAAAGATACAAACAAATCAAAAGAACGGAATGAAAGGGGACTTTTAAAAGCAACGAAATTTTTTTTATTAAACTCATAAAGGAAGTCTTTATTAATTTTTAATGCTCATTTATTGAATAAGCTCCCCTTCAATTTAAAAATAAAAAGAAAATGCGGTGCGGTGTTCTTATTTCGTTTTCCCAACTCCATCTATCGATTTTTAATTACAACTTAGATTTAAAGTCAATGAAGTTAGCACAAACGATTATCAAATTGTGGAATATTTTTAGTAAATTTAATCGTTATCCAAGTATAAGGGAATAATCGATCAGTTCACAGTTGGGGATTGATATGGAAAGGGGTGCAGACTGCCGACCGTCTCGACGCTTTGGGTCTTTGGCCGTCGAGTTCAAGGATCAGGTCTTGGCAATACATCATGCACGCCGACGGAAAATAAATCCAAATAAGAAAAGGAAAATGGAAAAATCTGTTGTTTTACTTTTATCAATTCCAGACACTAAATAATTTTATGTAAATCCACTTTTTTCCATGCTTGTATAATTTGTGACTAGTTTAGAACTTGGCCAAAAGTTAAAATTTTTGTCAATTTTGGGTGCAAAAAAATATTTTTTTCTTGTTTTTAACAAGACGTTATTAAATTCTGAAACGTGTGTAGACCCAAAGACTCAGAGGCGATAATTGCTGTATGCAAAATGCAAAACCAGCGTCTAGACATAGCAACAAGTGTTCCGCTGCTTCTCAACTCGTTTTCGCGGTGCGTTCCGCAATGGAAGAATTAAGTTTGCGTTGAATATTTATGCTCAGACGTGCATATTCAAGTTACCTGCTCGAAACACTTCCTAAAAATCAATAAAATGGGTTAAAATGTTAGGTTATCTTAACATAACACTAAATTTCCGTACAGTTTACTCGCTTACTTTGAAAATTGTTTTTTTTAAGTTTCTAATTTATGTACTTGAACTTGTAATATACGTTTTTGTATCCACAGTAAAAATAAGCATTCGGGGAAAGAGTGTATAAGCCAAGCGGTATATCGTGCCGTCGAAATCCATCGTCATTAGAGTTGTTGGCGACGCTAGCAGGCCGTTATTTATAGTCCTTGTTAGTTCCTCTCTACAGTATACAGACAGAGATACAGCCTCAGATGTTAGTAGTACAAGCCCCCGAAGGCACATGTCTTCCAACCCCTTTAACAAATCGTCTAAAATGTCACATATATTTTATTCCGTTTTACTTCTTCGTTTTTTCTCCCTTTTTTTCTGGGGTTTGTAAACTAAAACTTATAAAATTACAATATAAATACTTAAATAGAATGTATAATGACGTTTCTTAGTTCTAAATTAACTGTCAAAAATATATCATACCAACCTATTAAAAAAAAAAGTAAAAAATTATACGAATTCACCAATTTCTTAATGTTGGTCTAAAATTATATTACAATTGTTAATACTAATTAACAATCGTTTTAAATTCACCTTAATTTTCTAAATAAACTAAAATTAATTAATAATTTTAATTAACCCATTTAGTTGCTTTGACATTTCGTACCAACCGTTTTTATTTTTTATTATTTTTTGGTTGACATTTATTTTTAATATTTAAATGTAAATATTTTCCATTTTAAGCATTAAAATATAAATGATAAGTAAATAAAATAATAATAGAATATAAACGATATTTGTGTTATACGGCGCATGTCCGAAAAACGTTGACTGCGAAAGTGAGGTTAGAAAGAGAAAGAGCTCGGGGAGGGTAGTAAACACGGCGTGGAAGATCATAGGGTTTCGAGCTTCGGGGGTGAAATGACACGACGCTAAAAAGCTCCGAGTTGAGAGCTTCAAAGCTTACGTAAAAAAGTTTGTGTATCAAGTTATGTGAGTTTCATCGAGAAAAACCTATCCATCATCAACGGTCATCTAATGAATGGGCACTAATTTAACTAAAACCAGTCGTGTAAGTTACAAATTTTTATTTAAAAATTAATTAACATTATTAATGGTAGATATTAATTTGGGTAATTAACGTTAATTGCATTTGAATTTTAAGATCGTTACCGGTTAGTACAGGTGTTTGCATACATAATATAAACGTGTTCCTGTCAACAAACCTCATATAACGTGTTTAAACCGTTCGCATACGCACACACACATCAAATTCAGTCGTTCACTTTGCGTGTATGAGTCTCGGTTTTAATGATTTGTACCAATTTATAACGAGTTTACACTCAAACGACTAATTGCACTTGATATCAAAAAACTAATTTCAAGATTATTATGGTTTAACTTTATTTGGGAAGCAGTCTGTCTGAGATAGATGTTAATGTCAGTGTTAATGTGTGTAATCAAATACAAAGATGTAAAGATTCTTTTTTGCAAAGTATGCTAGTTTTATCTTTGACCTGAATTGAAAAACTCTACTTATTTACTTTTAGTTCAAGAAAAATATACAAGTATCTATCACTGAATAACAAAACTAGAATTAACACTAGACTTAGAACTAGAAAGTTTCGGGTGTTTCTAGTTTTAGGTCTAGTTTTAGTTCAACAAAAATACGCAACATAGTTTTATCTAGTGCTATCTAGCACTGTCACTGGGTCTAACACTAGATAACACTAGAAACGTACAGGTTTAGCCCTACGTCTCATAAGACGGCTAAACCGGAATGTTTCTAATTCTAGGTGTAGTGTTAGTTCTAGTTTTACACTAGCACTATCACTAGAACTAACACTAGCCGTCTTGAGAGATGTGCGGCTAAACCTGAATGTTTCTAGTTCTAGGTCTTGTGTTAGTTCTACTTTTAGTTCAATAAAAATATAAGTAGTTGACTTTACGTGTATGAGTCTCGGTTTTAATGATTTGTACCAATTTACAACAAATTTACACTCAAATGACTAATTGCACTTAACATCAAAAAACTAATATCAAGTTTATTATGTTTTCACTTTTTGACGTTTAGAATTTCAAAATATAAGTGCTACCAACACATTATTAAAAAAAGTGTTAAATTTTTGATTATTTTTAGGTTATCTTTTTTACTTTTCCCTAATAATAATTACCATAAAAAAATGTTAATGTGAATATAAAAGTTTGAAACGGAAACGGAAGTGGTCGTTCCAGAAGGGTGGATGTATTCAGAAAAAAAAATATAAATAAAAAGAGGAAATGAGAAAGAAAAAGAAAAAATTCCCCACCCAAAGAGCAATTATACGTTGAAACTAGTACCTATACTGGTGGGTGGAAAACTTTTGGACGCCGACGACGACGACGTCGAAGAGAAAGAGAGTCGTTAAACGACGGGGGGTGCCGTGGGGGTGCTTTGGCTGGTAGCAGGTGGGGCAAATAGTGAAATAATTTCGTGATTTGCATTAATACTTTGACCGGGGTTGGGTCGCAGGCGCTCATAAAAACTCGTTTAGCATATTAAAACGTTGCACGCATCGTCCGGCTTCTCCTAAAACTAAAAGGGCGAGTTTAGAACAAAAATCAAAATTAACTGCAAAAATAAATAAATATTTTTTGCAAAGAAAAAGATTTTTTGGTCTTTCGAATGTAATATCGGCGATGGTTTCCTGGTAATCGGGTCTTTAATTTCCGCTCGATCGGTGTTTTCGATGGGATCGATTCGATTTTGAGCCATGGAATTGCCGCAATCGAGGTCCCATTAGGAAGGAGTTGGTAGGTTTCTGTAGTTGTAGAAATCGTTCCGCTGGCACGTAGACAAACACGGTGCCCCCTTTCTCTCTCACTCTCAAATTTAGGGGGCCCGTGTCACCATTAACCATAGCAACCGGCGCGTGCATTTCTCGCCAAAATCCAAATCGCATCAAAGCGAAACTCCCCTTTGATAGGTAGGTGGTGACAATTTGATCTTTCTCTTTTAACTAGATATATATATATAAAACTCTACTATTAAATGCTAAAAAATGTTTTATGCAAACTAAAGTAGTAATTTACTACTAAAAATTCTTAGAGGGCATAGAATCGTTGATGGTATTATCTTAATATTCTCAAGAGACATGAATAATTCATTTAATTAGAATATAGCCTTTTCTCCGTTTCAAGTATATACCCCAGAAATCTCGTTCTCGAATCCCCCCGTTTTATACACGCCATTGTGTCTCTCATCCTCGACGACATTTGACTGTCTGTTGTCGTCGCCAAAAGAAAAGAACCCGGCTTGTCTCGTTCGGCGAGGGAAGGGGGGAAATTGCTGAATGACCCCCTTCGGAGTAAAAATTGGAGAACTGCTCTTTTCATATCTTCATCTCCTTTTGTGTTGTTATTATGACCGTAATCTCGACGAAAAAGATTCTTACCGTTTTTATACAGGGTGATCATTCGAAATATCACGGATCATCTTAAATTTGACTCTTATCCGTCAAAAATGACAGTTCTTAATCTTGATATGTCTATTTTGACTTTTAACCTATTAAATACACATTAAAATTTTAGATTTTTACAAATAATTTTTTTTACATGAAAAATTAAATATAATATAATCTCAAAGTCAAGTTTGATACACTCGCATCTATTTGACCCTGGCGGGTAGTTAAGGGTTAATAATGGATTTCTTTCAAGAGTGGGGGAGGAAAGTTATAAATTTTTTATTAAAAAAAAAAAAGGAGTGAAAAACATTTTTGGCTTTTGAAATTTAAAGTGTAATCGGGGATTTTTTCGCAGCCGGCCCCCCGTTAATTCTATGCCTCTTTTGTCCGCGGGACCATTCCCGTCAGATGGCGCGACCCACGCGGCTGTAACCCGGTTTATTTACGCCCCCTGCCGACCGGGAGGATATTACTGGCCATAAATGCAAATTGCCGAAAGCGTTTTCGTTCGTTCGGGTGAGATTTTTACAGATATTTACCCTTCGTGAAAGAACCACCAAAAAAAATATTCATCTCATTTTATTATTATTATTATTATTTTCTGTGCAAGTCATCAATCATTTTCATTTTTTTTATCTCTGTTTTATAGGTGTCACCAGTAATAAAAGTTTTTATCAAAAAATACTTTTGGGATGACTCTTAAGATCTCCAATAAGATCTACTTACACGTAATCGGGTTATTCTAAATTCAAAAATTCTTTACCTGGAAGTTCCTTGCTGTTTTATTTCTCTTTAATTTGTATCATTTAACTTGGTCCAATTGAAGAAGGTTTTTTAACCACCCCTTATTCTATCTTTCAAATGTTGACTAAGTCCTCATCACACTGTTCCTCATAGCTGTTTGGCAAGCAGTATGCTTAAGATAAACGTTCCGCTGCTTTTGCTGTAACAAATGATGATGTCAGTGTATGTATAATCTCAACTTGAAATTCGATTCAAAGATTAATCAAATGCAAAGATGTAAATATTCTTGCTTGCATAAAGTATGCTAGCTTGAGACAAATTCATTTTTCAGTTTTATTTTTGACCTGAATTGAAAAAGCTACTTTTCTACCTTTAGTTCAAGAAAAATATACAACAATCTAGCGCTGAATAACAAATAAAACTAGAACTAACACTAGACCTAGAACTAGAAAGTTTCGGGTTTAGCCGTGCGTCTTCAGATGCACGGCTAAACCCAAATGTTTCTAGTTCTAGGTCTAGTGTTAGTTCTAGTTTTAGTTCAACAAAAAGCTATCTAGCACTAGACCGTAAACTAGAGACATTCGGGTTTAGTCGTGCGTCTGAAGACTTACTACAATAAAAAATATATAACAACCTAGCGTTGAATAACGATTAAAACTAGAAGTACCGAACAACTCGGGGAATACCCCGAGGTATAACCCTCTGAGAATAACATTAAAAACTAAAGAATTTATTTTAAAAATTAATTTATTTAAATACTATCTTAAGTAGTAATTTTATCATGAATTGATTTTAATCCGTTTAAAGGATTCGTCGATCCATAGAATAAGAGGGGTTAAAATGAAAGGGCCCTATAGGGTTACACCTCAACGGTGTAGTAGTGACTCGGACCGTTAATAAGGAGCGGAAAGAGAGTTTGCCACCCTTATCCTTAAAGGCTTGATTAACCTTAAATTCAATTCGGAAAATGGGTTGGCAGGGGTGGAGTGAAGGGGAATAAGACAGACGACAGGTGAAGGAGCACGCGGAGTCTCGGTGGTCTTGAAAGATATGGACGCATCTAATAATAGCCCAATGAACGAAACGCCGTGCTAAAAGAGAGAGATAGAAATTTGCCCCGAGTTATTACGGCGAGGGTGAAATTTAAGGGGTGCACCTCTGGTGATGTTAAGACAAAAGGGAAAATCTAATCGATAATAAGCACATTGATTTTTGTTTTAGAAAGAACATTTTTTTTTTAATTAAATTTAGGAATTTTTTGATTCAACAATTGAAGTAAGAAACGTCAAAATAGACTTATATATATTTTTTTGTTTCTTTGTTCTGTTTGAAAAGAATGAGTATCCCCAATTTTTCCCCCCTTCGGATTGCTTCTCGAATCCCCTCGGATTACAGGGGCTGTTTTTAAACAGTATTTGAGCGGATTTAGTTTTATGATTGATATGTAAATAATTCGGAGAAATCCCTCAATTTTTTTTCTCAAATTGATTTTTGAATAATTCAGCATCATCTCCCGTCAAAACTCAAAAGTAACTTTAGGCTTAATCTTAATACATCACCTAACAAAGTACAAATTGACATCCCTAACCGAGGTTAGGGGAGATAGTCCCCGGTACAAAGTACAAACCATGGGGATAAATATTTAATATATTAGCTCCTGGAGATAACAGGAACTTGTAAATAGAGGGTTTTAGCGTCTATTCCCTTCACGCCCTACTCCCTCGAATACGTTCCCGGATTACGTCCCTCTCCCCCATATACAAACCCTGGCATCCCTATACACTATCAATTATTCCAACGACGGTGAATCCTGACAATATTTACCCCGGAATCCGCATAGCGCTGCGGCCCTAGATCCCGTTTACTTCCCGTTTTGGCACTGATCCCAGTTTTAAAACGTCGCCGCGGTAGTAACGCAAAGGGTTTAATCCACACGAATTTACTGTTTTTATCGACATTTATGGTTTTCGGGGGCCAAAGGTACCCGAATTATATTTTATAACCAGATTCACATGAATTATAAGGGGTCACACTAATTATATACTAGATACGACGCTATGTGGAAAATCACACTTGGATTTGCAAGCACTACTCATTCATGACGGACTAGGTAAGGATATAATTATAAAACATCTAGTAGATATATGACAGAAGACAAGATATTGTTTGTAGGGGGCTAAACACCGCTTGCAGATGATCAGATCTGCTAATAAACGGATAAATACTGATGGCAAAAATTTGATATTACTAATAAAATACTGGAAATTGCTGGAAAACACATAGACGTTGATCATATAACGTTGTCATAGAACTAAATATTATTAATAGATACCGATATACTACTGGCAGAAAACATTTTAGACTAGAGACTGCAGCTTGAAGCTTAGATACTCTTAATAATAGACTAAATATTACCAACAGAGAACTGGAAACTGCCGGCAGAAAACATATTAAACTAGATATAGCTGTCATACTCTTAATAGAAGATTAAACATGGCCAATAGGAGACTAAATACTGCTGGAAGAAGCTGAGATATTGCTAATACAATGCTGGATACTGCTGGCAAAATAGTAGATACTGCTCGCAGAAGGCTAGATATTGTTGATAAGATTAGATTTTGCTTGCATAAGGCTGGATATTGTTGGCAAAAATCATATACTGCTAATACAAGGCTAAATACTGTTGGCAAGAACTTGATACTGCTAATAGAAGGCAAAACACAAAAACTAGCACTAGAATTAGAAACGTTCGAGGTTAGCCGTCTTAAGAGACATACGGCTAAACCCGAATGATTCTAGTTTTAGGTCTAGTGCTAGATCTAGTGAGTGCTAGATAGCGCTAGATAGCACTAGAACTAACACTAAAACTAGAAATGTTTGGGTTTTGGGTCGCCTTAAGAGACGCACGGCTACTACTTTTCCTTCAATAAAAATATACAACAATTTATCATTGCATAACAATTAAGACTAGAACTACCGTCCTTGATTTATACATCGTATAGACAACGCGGGGAATACCCCGAGATTATCTACGAAAATGGAATAGAGTAATATGAGCGCTAGCATTTATATTTAAATATATATTCCGTTATCCAAAGTCCGTTCTAACGAGATCTGTTATATCGAGGATTTAATGTTTTTTTTTTTAATCATTTGAAGAGGGGGCAACAAGTGTCATTGAACGCACGTTTGGTGTCATTGTTTGACTATCGATTGGGTTGACACGTCCGTCGCGTCATCGTATGCACAGATACAAAGGATGTCCCGACACCAGCCATCCCCCTCGTTCCTCGTTTCCCACATCACAACACGCAAAACAATCCTCCGTCCCTGCACTTTCCCCGGACGCCAATCAATTATCGACTTTGAATTTGATTTGTACGTCTCGTTCAAACAACATCCGATTTTTGTTTTATTTCCTTATGAGTTCCATCTCTATATTGTGTTTTTCTCATTCCGGTTGTAATAGAAATGTAGATTGTCGAGATCTATAGTGGCATGCAACCGGGCGGTTAATGAACGTAGCCCAGGCTCGTTATCATTTAAATTAGTCGCGATGTCCTGCGACGAAGCCGCCAAAGCGATTTTAGCGCCCCCCTTTTCCTCCCCGTTCTCATTGCTGAGTCCCGGAGTCGCTTAATTGAAACGGATTTCGTCGTTTATCTTACAACTTTACCGGGGGATTTTATCGGGGCGCGTTCTCCACCATCAGGTGACAGCACCGATTAACTTCTCGCCAAGGTAAACGGAAACTCAAAGTGGATTTTCAACCCGGATAATAACCAAACCTAACTTCACTTTCTTCTTAATTATAATAAAATCATATTGGAAAATATTTTTAGAATGGAAAAATCTTATAATTTATGAGTATGTAAATTTTGTCATCATTTCTCTTGGGGCAATTAAACCGGACGCGCGTTCTACCGTTGCGAAACCCGAATCCTCCTCCGTTCGCCCCCATGGCTTTATGACGGTGCTAATGCGGGGTCATAAATATCTCGGGTAGAAAATAGAGGCCGGAAGCAGGTAGAACGGCGGCCCAAGCAGGACGTTACCTAACGGGAAACGATGCGTCACCAGAACTGCAAAAATATTCCGTACCCGAAGAAAATCCATCTCAAAACCCTCGAGTATTTTCACCACATTTTTCCCTGAAAACGGTTTAAACGTAACTTCACGATGCCTATCGCGGTGAAAGAATGGTTACCTAAACCAACAGGTAGCAACCCTCACATACACAAAAAGGACCTTGGGGTCCCTTAAATTTGATAACGGTCCCTAAGGTTTAGGAGTGCGAAAATTTAGATTCTTTTTTTCGTTATCTTGTATTTTTTAGTATTAATCACGGTTGAAAATTCGGGGGGATAGATTTAAAATCCGGGTTTTGTGAACACAACAGTACAATATCTGTTGTATCTCGACCCTAGGTCCAGAAAAAACTCGCCCACCCTAAGCTTAACTCCCATTGTTGACGAGCTAGCATTGTGCTGTCAGGTTCTGTCAAATTCACCGCCACGTGACCACCCTCTTCTCATCACAAATCCTAAAATTAGTGTATGCGAGTTTTGCTTGTCCGACAACTCCCCCAAATAAAAGTGTTCGAGGGAGTTTGGGGGACAACATTTTTATTTAAACTAACCTTAAAGGTGATATCCCAAAATTTTAACAACTTTTAGTTTCTCGTTTGTTAATTTTCGATTACAAACCAATTAATAAGGGTTGTTTGTAGAGGCGACCCTTCGATTCGGTTCTGTTCGATTGAAATTTCGTTGTCCGGAAAATTACCTTTCCACGATTACAAATTGATCAATTATTGAAGCAAAAACAGAATTTTAATAGGTTATTTTTTTAATCATGTGAAGGTAGCGAATGATGATGCCAACCTAAAAAAAAATTAAAAAACTAATTTTTTTATACATCGTTAAAACATTTATTATTTAAAACTTAACTATTTAATGAGTTTATAAATTATAAAAAGAAAATGAAAAATAAATCATTAAATAATTAATTTTAAATAAGTTGTTTTTGTTAAACGTCAAGTAAAAAATGAAATGTCAAAAATATTTCTAACCTCAAAGTTTATTTTGTAATCGGTGGTATTGTGCTGGTATTGTGCTGTCGGATATTTTGTTACAACAACGATGAAGGTATAACGAGAACGTAGAAAATAACGACGTATACGACGAGGATGGTCTGGTCGTATTGATGTAGACTTGGGTGGTCGTGCCAAGTTCAACGTTCAGCTCACGCCACCATTCCCATTGTCTGCTGCTCTACTCTCTCCGGTCTAGGATTCCTGTGGAACCGCTATCGAGCAGGAATCCTCGTTCCGAAGCATCCACCCGACGACGACGAGAAGGTTATTTATTTCTCACAGGCTATTTACCCCGTAACTTCAAATACGAGGAGACGTATTTTAAAAATTTTCGTCCTAAGTGAATTTAAAAGATTTTTTTTTACCCACCCGTGGATTTGTAGATCTATATTTCATATGTATGTTCCTGACGGCAAAGATATTCTTCCGGAAAGGGGGAGAGATTTCCAGGCAATCTTCAAGTTGTGTCATTGATATATTAGGGGAGTGAGTTTGTAAGAAGGTTTATACCGGGAATTTTATATAACTTATTAATATATGAATGCAGTCATAGTTACGAAACTACTATGCCCTTGCACTGTCCCACAGAAAATGACAACAGTTTTGCAAAGTAAAAGTTTTGCTTGGAAAAAGGTGACGTCCTTTGATAACCCTGACTTTTCGGCTATCTTAAGAGACGCACGGCTAAACCCGAATGTTTGTGGTTTTAAGTCTAGTGTTTGTTCTACTTTACGTCCAATAAAAATATATCACAATTTAACGCTGAATAACAATTAAACCTAGTACTAACACTGGACTTAGAACAAGAAACATTCGGGTTTAGCCGCACGTCTTTCAAGACGGCTAAACCCGTATGATTCTAGTTCTAGGTCTTGTGTTAGTTCTAGTGATAGTGCCAGTGTAAAACTAAATCCAAATGATTCTAGTTCTAGATCTTGTGTTGGTTCTAGTGATAGTGCTAGTGTAAAACTAGAACTAAGACTAGACCAAGAACTAGAAACATTCCAGTTTAGCCGAACGTCTCTCAAGACGGCTAAACCCAAATGATTCTAGTTCTAGGTCTTGTGTCAGTTCTAGTAATAGTGGTAGTGTAAAACTAGAACTAACACTAGACCTAGAACTAGAAACATTCAGACATGTTACATTTTATATGAGACAAAGTATAATACTAGTACTATAATTTTGTATATGTATTGCATTTTAAGTGAAATTCACTGTAGATATTCCCGCAGCAAAATTCATAGTTCTCTTTCTCTCTTATAATAACGAACCAATTGGCTCAATTAATTAAACTGTGACATTTGTTCTACAATTTGTTCAGTTTGTGTTAGTTGAGAAGGATTCTTCGTCTTGAAAACTAGAAAGAAATGTTTTCTGAATTAAATTACTATAAATTGCAGGTTAATTTAAGATTTAAATCGTTTCACTATCTTTTTGTTAAATTTTTGTTTTCTTTTTATTTTCAGAGGGAAGCGACTCAAAGAGATGCGGACCGTGAAAGACGAATGCGTGCCGATAGTGAGGCCAGGGCCAAACAGGCTGTACAAGAAGCAGCGAGATGCAGATCAAGGCTCAAGTTACTTACTAGTGAATTTGCAAGGTAAAGACCGATCATTTTCTTATCCTTTTTTTTTATAATCCGATCCGGGAAAGATTAATAGTTTTAATTAAGTGTCAAGGGAGCAAAATTCGTCATTATCACGAGTTATTAGGAGGTCGTATCGTAAAGAACCCCCGCCGTTTGTTACACTACCCCTACTGTTAATACTGGTAACAGTTGGTATTAATTATGTTTCAAGTTGCAATCCTAAAAAGAATTTTTTTCTTTGTATATCGCAAATAATGTTACATGAGAACCGTTTTAATTAAAATTATTATAGATTTAAGTTGGAAGCTCCGAAGAGGTACGTAAGCCCCCTTGAAACATTCTCCGCTAAGTAGATTTAACGGTTTCCCTATCGCGGAAGATCACAACGCGATGCCAATTATCCTTCCACTTTGATGTGACATAAAGTAGATATCTCTGCAACCAATTCTCCCTTTTCCCTATTGGAACATAATCCCCCTTTCCACGACAGAAAAGCGGAAATAAAATAATCGTATTACATTGGAGCATTAAATCTTGACGATGTTAGTTATTTATTTATTACAAGATTTTCTCGCTAAAATATCTAAAAACTTAGGTTATGTTGTGAGTTTTGACATATTGTGTAAAGTGTTATCAAATTTCTTTTCTATAAAAAAAAAATCATGATTTTTAATTTACAATATTTTCCAATTTGCTCTAATTTCTGTTACTATACCTATATTAGAATCGATAAAATGGGTTAATATCAATAAATAAGTATGAATTGTGTTTGGGATTGACACAAAGAGTATCAAGGTCAATTACGTTAAAACGTCAAATCCATTTTGGATTAATTTTTCGTTATTTTCTTACCTCGATTATTTTTAAGTGAAAAATAGGTGTTAATCACAATGTTATCACAATTAATTTTGTGATAAAAGAAATACAAGAATTTTTTGTGATTATAAATTTCAATTTAACGCATAAAGTCGTAGATTCAACTTCACGGGAAAATAATACCAACCTAAAAATTACGAAAGCACCAAGTCCAATTTTTATAATATAATTTTTGTTTTTAATTTAATAAATTTTTTAATTAACTTATATGTATTTATAAATATTAATCGAAATTTGATATTAACGTGTGTAACATATAAATGAAACAACCAGAAGTCCGGCGCTGCTAATTTTTCCTTTCTGTTATTTCTGTCCTTTAACGTGTTAACTTATATTTGTTATTTAACTAGTACTAGCACCCAACCCAACCCGAATGATTTTAGTTCTAGGTCTTGTATTAATTCTAGTGATAGTGCTAGTGTAAAAGTAGAACTAGCACTAGATCTAGAAACATTCGGGTTTAACCGCACGTCTCTCAAGACGGCTAAACCCGAAACATTCTAGTTATAGGTCTAGTGTTAGTTCTAGTTTTATTTGTTATTCAGCGCTAGATTGTTGCATAATTTTCTTGTACTAAAAATAGAACTAACACTAGATCTAGAACTAGAATCGTTCGGGTTTAAACGTATGTCTCTTAAGACGGTTAAACCTGAATGTTTATAGTTCTCGATCTAGTGTTAGTTCTAGTATTGCACTAGCACTATCACTGGAACTAACACTAGATCTAGAACTACAAACATTCGTTTTTTTAGTGTTTCAATTGATTTTCAATTAAATAAAGAACTCTTCATTTCCCGTTACGGGAAATCTCATAACTTCGGATACGAGGAAGTATTTACTGGATGAAAGGGGAACGAGGCGACGCCACTAAATCTCACCCTCTTCCCCAACCCAACGAAGAGGTTATAAGGAAGTTTTTTATGACACACTACATCTTTGGGTATTGATCGTCTTCCAGTAAACGTGGTCGTCTTGGAAAGCAAAAACATAGAAACCGACCACGAAAATCGTTCGACTATGTAGAGTTCATGTTGGAAGAGTATTAAGAGATTTCATTTTGAACGTTCAAAATGCTAATAATAGATGTCGTTTCGTGGACGGCATCCAATAATAAAATTTCTACCTGAATTCTAAATCCCCGGTTTAATATCCGATTTAGAAAAGGAATTTTATTGATTTTGTTCAAGTGAATGGTGCTACTTAGATAAGGTATTATTGATTCAATTTTCAACGTGTTGGTTATCTGTTGTACTCCAGACTCGAGGATAATCAATCAAGAATACCTCTTTGTAATTAATCAACTTGGTCACTAATTAATCATCATTAACTCATATGTGATAATGTCTCTTTATTGTTTAGAATTTAGATGAGAAAATTTTAATGCTTTAGTAAAGAAATTTTAATAATTAAGTCTGAAAAGTTTTCTAAAGAACGAAAACAATCATTGAATAAGAGAGAAAGACGAACTTTTCCACTTAAACTCATCCATGGTCCGTTTTCTCACGTTAAAACGAACAAAAATAAGAGATCTCCTCGGTTCAATAGACCTGTCTCCTGTCCTAAAGAACTTTACCAACTTTACCAAATCGATTTTCAACAGAAGTCTCAACAAGTAAAAGATATCTATCGGATGATGTTTAAAATGTGGTTAGAGTTAACCAATTTCAGACGCACACCGTCATTCGATTAGTTCTCGTCCTCGGTTAACGCGATTATGATAGCTTTCTCCATGACGAAGTCTTCGATCTTTGATGTTAAAGGAGAAAGAGGGATGAAGTGGCTTATGCCAAGGCATCTGACAGTGAGGGGATCTTCGCAAAGTGGCTGACGAAGGGATCTTGGTACCTTTCCATAGTTTAAGGACCCTTCAGAAATCCTCTCTCTCTCTACCGTCCTAACCACTTGACTACGACTGTCTGTTACCAATAGGAAGAGTAGCGGGACGAAAAAGTTTTATGATTCTTCCAGACCGAAAGGAATTTTTTAACTTTTTTTATTTTTTAATATACTTTTTCTTTTTGTTGGAAAATGTAATAAAGGGAAAGGTTGGCTTTTAAACTAAGTAAATTAATGGTAAACGCCGAGTGCACTTGCTGCTCTAGGTTAGTGCATAGTTTATACGATCGTAAAAATCAATTTTAAGGCCGATTTAACCTTATTTTCAAGCCAGAGGGAAAAGGGTTGTACGAAATGGAAGGTTTTTAGTGCGACTTTTGTTATCTTAGTTTATAACCACCAGACAAAATTAATTAAATCAAAAAAAAAGTATTGCAAAAGAAATAAAAATAAAGTTTTTAGGTTAGGTTTTTTTTGACATTTCGAGTATTAATCAAAAATGCCAATTAAATGAAAATTAAATAAAATAATTTGTATCGCGAAGTTAACCAACAAAGTTAAATTGACATTATATGTCAATGTCAAAAAATATTCTAAGCTTTTTTTTTTATATAACTACAAACTCAAAATATTATTCGAAATAAACCATGTCATTTCTACTAGAACGATTCGTGTTAATTTTAATTAGTGCAGTGGTAACACTGTCGGAAATCATCCGGGTTTATAATTGCATTAGTGGCGCTTTCTGTCTACGCAGCTGTAAACTAACACGGGCAACAAGGCCGAATTAAATTTTTTCTCTATCGATACATCTTTATAATTAAATTTTATTAAAATAATTCGGAATCGGGATAAAAATTGATTCAATCTGGTCGATTAAAAAAGAAGTCGAACAAAAAGGAGTTTTGTAGCGGAATAAATAAGGGTCGCGTATCTCAACAAGACGGGGGTCCTTGTTAATTTCCGGTTGCGTCGCCGCTTTTAGACCGTGGTAACAGAAGCGACGGCGTCGTCTCCCCTCGATAACTAAGATATCGGCGTCTAAATTTAATTAATAACGTCTAGTTCATGTGGGCGCCACGATATTTTGACATTATCAAGATCTGTTATGTTTCAGAAATGACCTTTAACGCACATTAACGTGATACGAAGTACTTCTTTACTTTTTACTGTGTTTTATCTTATACAATTAAACGTTTCTACGTTGAAAAATTTAAATGTCAAATTAAACGTCAACATTAAACTTTTTATTTTTCATAACCTTACATTTATTAAATGTCAAAATTTTAAATATACAGGTGAGTTATTAGTATCCCGGCGGACGATAGTTGCTATACCGTTTGAGAAAGAAAAAAATATACGGGTGTTCCATTTAAATAACTTAAGAAAAAGTCATTTAAAAAACATCGAAGCTTTATAAACATCCTGTATAGTGTATCTAATATCTTTGAATATTATCATCTACCTACTGGCTTCGACTATTGTATGACGTAGTTTCAAGGCAAAATCGGAAAAAATGACGTTTTTACATAGTTTTTAAAAATATCCTGTAATGGGCACATTTTGGAAGAACAATTGAATATCTCAGGAACTATGAACGCTGTGAAATAGTAACATATACGGTTGTATAAACAAATTTAATTGTATTCATAATATGATAAAATAAACAGGTTGTTCCATTTAAATAAATTGACGTACTCTTCGTTACGCTTAAATGGAACACCTGTATAAGTGAAAATAATTTTACATAATAGAAAGTGATGAGTCCTTATAAAATATTTTTTTGTTTTTCAAATGGTTTAGTAACTATCGACCTCGGGGAGACTAACAACTCACCCTGTATATCTTTGTGTGTAAAGGCCCGTTTACACGCTCAAACCATTTGCGCAAACTCTCTTTATACAAGTAAATTGTTGCCAACAAATATAGTTTGACTAAAATCTGTCTTGATAGAATATAGGTTTTGAGGTTGGTGTATTAGCATGAGATCATGGGCATCAAAATTGGGAAAGACCTCGATCTAAAACAAACTGTGCACGTAGAAAAATTAATAAAAGACGTGTTCTATGAGGCATAATTGGGAAATTTCAATCGCAATTGCTTTCTACAAATTCAACAGGAAAGTACAAGCAGTATTCAGACTCCATTCTGCACTCAGCATTCATTACACACTCAATCATCAAGCAAAACTCAGCAATCATTCAACCCTCGGAAAGTGCTGCAGATTTGTTTCGCAACCTCAGTGAAAAGTTTGGAAAGTATTTTTATACTACATCCTACATCCTTTTGTATTTTATAACTTATTAATAATATTCAATAAACTTACCTTGTCTTTTAATGCCTTGTAAATTGCGTCACATGTTTCTGGAATTATGGCGCTTAGAGCTGATTTGGAAATAACTATTGCAAATTTCAATTCCTCGTAAATTCTCCCAGTTGCCAAAAATTTCGTTCATCGCAAGTAGTTGCGAAAATCATCAGGCTCACTACGTACGTAGTTCAGCGATTAAATTGGTATGAGAAAATATATCCCGCTGTAACAAGCATGGTTTACATCATTTTTTTCTATTAGTCTTCAACTCTTACCCTTGAATTTCCTTAATTCAAAAAGTAAACTCTCCGGCAACTTAGACACGCTTTCTTTAGCAAACAGGCTGTTTTCCCCAAACACGACGGAGACGGGGAATTCTTCTCTAGCTGCCCCGCCGGAGGGCCCTTAATAAAATAAGAGGAAGGCATTTAAATATACGGCAAATATTTGTTTCGTTTTAAGAGTTGTGTACGAAAGTTCCCCTTTTTAGTAGGAGTCTCCGCTTTTTATTTGAGTGTATCCGGTAGAAATTGAATTACACCGTTTCAAATATTTGTTGGTAAATAAAAAAAATATCGAAGATTTATAAATGATGTGTATTTAGTTGCATAATCGCATTTTTTTATTAATATCTTTTTCTTTTCAGAATGGAAGAATCAGTTAGATCTATGCTCGTTTATAAAAAGCAAGCCGAACAATTAAGACAAGAAAAAATAGCTTTAACTGCTGCTTTTGAGGTAAGAAAATGTTTTCTTTTTTATTTTCAATTAAAAAAAAGTTTTTATCTCTTTCGTCTCTTTGACCACACCTTGGAAGTTAGTTAATTAATTTAAATAAAAGTCCTGGGGGATTAAAAGATTTAATTAGTTTTCCTTCTTTCACCCTTTCGGGATCTTCCGATGGAAAAGGGATTTAAATTTTCATCGTTAGACTTCGTAATGTATTTTTTAATTTTTTATTGACATCTAAAATATACTTTACCCGAAAAGGATTTGGTGTAATTTAAGTTTCCAAGCCGAGTCTGCCGACTTGTATTAAGTTCCTCGATTCAATTTACCGATAAAATTTTATGTCTTTTCAACGGTTTTGTTCCTAACCTCAACTTCCCCCTACTAATAATCGATTATCGCCAGAAACCCGCTTTCGCCGACCAATTAACTGATACAATTAAGTTATAATTTACTGCAAAGCACGGGTAATACCTGCATTAGTTGTAATAGAGCGGTCACACGTGTAATATACCTTCTTGAATGTTATAACCTCGCTTTTCATAATTTAAGGATCACTTTGTAAATTTAGTTTACCACAAACGACTGAAATACGAGGAGACGGATTCATTGTTAGATAGAACTATTATATAAAGTGTTACCTCCCCTATTTTGAAGGGGGCCTCGAGTTTGTTTACTAAAGAGTCTTATCTCTATTTTGGCAAGCCGAGTTTCTGTTTCCAAAAACAATACGGAAAATCTCTCTGAATACACAATGACGATAACTTACAAACAACTCCATTTTATTCAAAAAACTTTGTAAACATGTAAATAAAACGTTTTTCGAATGACATTTATTTCTGTCAATGTCAAAAATTTTGTTGCCAACCTCAAAAAACAAAAAAATAAACTAAAATCAAAGTTATATTTATTTATGAATATGTTTACCTGGAAAATCATATAACACGCAATATATGAATGCAGTAGCCATAGTTACATTTAAAACTAGAACTAACACTAGACCTAGAACTAGAAAGATTCGGGTTTAGCCGCACGTCTCTCAAGACGGCTAAACCCGAATGATTCTAGATCTAGGTCTTGTGCAAGTTCGAGTGATAGCGCTAGTGTAAATCTAGAATTAACACTAGACCTAGAACTAGAAACATTCGGGTTTAGCCGCACGTTTCTATAGACGGCTAAACCTGAATGATTGTAGTTTCAGGTCTTGTGTTAGTAGTTCTAGTTTTACACTGTGTTAGTTTTAGTGATAGTGTATATAGTTTTGTATAAATAAATAAATAAAATATGGAACATAGTGATATCTTATGTTAACTAGCGCTACTTACCACTGTCACTAGAACTAACATTAGACCTACAACCAGAAACACTCAGATATTGTACATTGCATTTTAAGTAAAATTCACTGTATAATTTCAAAAATGTTATCTTACTATTTAAACACAACCAATTTTTTTTTTAAACAAAACGCAAAATCTCCGCATTCATACAACGGGCGGTGACTTTCCACCAGACAACCCACTCGGGTCGCTTTTTGGGGCTCCACCCCCTTCTCTTCGTATACACACTACAAAGCCCTATTGTACACACGTCTCGTGTGTTGGATATATTCAAACGTGGGGTTTGTTCGAAACTTAGCTTGCTGTAAACTGCAAAAGTGTACAGCTGGAACGATAAAGAGCCCCCCTCTCTCTGCTCGGCGGTGATTAGTAGAAAAGGGATCCCCCTTTGAAGGGTAGGTTTTGACCCCATATTGATTCAAATGCGGTTACTCACAGGATATTTTCAATTTTCCAATTTAAAAAATCCTGTTTTTATTACATTTTGACAGTTTGCAAATTAACATAACCTTACTTATACTATTAACATAACCTCACATTAAAAATTTTAAATTTTAGGTTGGTTTCTAAAATTTAAACGTTTATTTTGATAATTTTCAAACGTGACAGTAACACAAATCATTCAAAACTTGAGTTGAACACCGTGAATACACAAGAGAAGTTTCCTGAAAGGTTTTGATTAGTTGATATGTGCTTGAAATTCTGGAGAACGTCGATTATAAGGGGATAATTGGTACTTTGGGGAGAAACGACGCCTGGAGACTCCAAAATCGAACGGTTTGTGAAAGTGGGAAACTAAGGGGGTTATTGTAAGGGATGGTAATGGGGGGCTGATTATAATCGGTGGATGCATTGAAAGTACTTCAATTCGTTTAGGGATAATTACGGGATAACTTTAGTTTAAAAAGTTTGTGTTGTTTTTAGTGAAAATTTACAACGATTGGCCCCGGTATAAACTGTATGATCCGAATTTAATGGGGCCCAAAAACGACAAGTTATTCCGTCCAATAAATAAAACGTTGACGCTCGAACGTTTTCGGGGGGCCCCACCGACAGGACCGTATCTGGGTAATTTATAAACGCGGTTCTGCTTTGAATTTATGATATCGGACGCTATTAATGAGAGATTTACCGTAAAATACCAACCTCGTTTAACGTCAAAACAAATTGATTAAAAACTTGGAATTTTAGGCTCACATTTTAAACCACCAAATTGATTCGGGTATTATATACACGATTTTTAATAAGATTTGAAATTCTAACCTCACATTTTATATTTTTCGATTTTGAAATCGAGCTATTTTATTAAAGTTATTTTAGAAAGTTCATTCAAGGTGTAAAATCAACATAATCCAATCTTTATGAACCTCTCAGTATATTATACCTACTCAAAATCCTTCCGTAGGCGTCCTAATTGACTGGTTCACGACACGGGATTAGATTGAAACACCTCGGTGAGCTCTTATTTAATTAGATTAAGAGCTTATCTCGAGCAAAACGGTCGCCACGCCGAACGTTATTCGTGAAAACTGGGTCAATTCTCTTTTCTCATCACACTTTCCCGGATTTTCGGGTAAAAACCCTCCGTTACTACACAAATTGGACTACGTTAAAGGGGCCAACACCCCGAAACACATTCATTCGAACCTCATCAAATACAATAAACCTTTATAATTATCTTGAGATCCCATTCAATAATTTTCTTAATTAAATTTGAATTTAAACATAATTTATTTGTTTTTGAAGTAAACAAACATACCTAATTTGACAACTGACATGATATTAAAAAAACTAACTTCACGCGGTTAGTAGTTTATTTTTTGATTTTACTCATAGATGGCGTTTATATAGTTTTAAGAAACGTCAAATCGGTTTTATGTCAAAGTGTTAACCTCCGCAAACGCTGAATCCAACCACAACTTAGTACTGGCCAAAATAATCATGAAGACTCATCAAAAAACAAACACAAAAATAGACAGCAATCGCATCTTAGAAACGGACAACATTGAGAAGCTGCCTGGCAAAAAATAAAATCTAATATACTCAAAGCCGCCGTAGAGGTTGTGGGAAGAAGAATATCTAATAAATCTACCAAACCAAATACGAACAACAACAACAACATCCAATACATCAAGAGAGCGCATTGGGAAAAGTTCTCTGCAGACTTGGAACAGGACCTTTATGGAGGCCAGAGGAAGGTTTGGAACATGTTAACACAAGAATCATTCGAACAACAGAAATGAGGAGAATCTACGATCCATAGCAGGCTGCACCATGAGGGACCATAAGAGAAGCGAAGACATCAGAGAACATTGCGGTGTCCAAGATATAGTCTGATGGTCTTGAACCAGACGGCGCGCATGGAGGGGCCATATTGAGCGGATGGATGACAACAGATTGCTGAAAATTGCAGCAAGTGATGGTGTCCAAGATTAAAGAGACTTCCTGTACGCCCACCCACAAGGTGGTATGAAAGTTGGAATTCATCAAAGGCCTTTAAAAGAGGAAGAAGAGAATAATTATTAACTAAAATATCAATCACATGATACGATGGTATTAAAGTGGGAACTATTAATATCGTATTATTATTTTGTAAGGTTAAGTTCTACCTTCCTCCTGGTGGGAATCTTGAATTCGTTCAAAAATTTATATAAATATAAATATACACATAGGCAACCACTTTAGCACTTTTGACATTCTAGTTACCTATACTCTATAAAATTCAAACTAACTCTCTTCATTGTACCAGGTTGACCAGAGACAGCAGAACGCGTTTTGAAGCTAGAGACTGAAACGAAGTAATTTATCTCAAATATACTGCTTTTTCTAATTAAACACTCTTATTATGAAAGTTATGTATTTTTCTTTTTTTATTTAATTACATAATGTATATACTTTAATAGAATACTTTTCTCTTAAAACGTCAGCGTCTGTAACACGTGACGTCACGATTAGGGCATATCAGGGGGTTTACTTTTCATACGTTGAAATCCTTCGTCTGGCCAACCTGGTAGAATACACTTTACGGACTTTGCATTGTACCAAAACGAGACCTTATTTCAGCTCTATTATCGAATTACGAATAACTAACTTACTTTTGCCACGATAACAACACAATTTCACCCCTTTTATACGTTTTCGTATAAACGTTCTCTCTCTCATTTTAAAGTTTAATCTGTCTCTGTTTGTCACGTTTTAGATGTTGTGTATATGTTTTGTGTGTGCACAACACGGGGAGAATGGGAGGGTTTGAGGGACTTCCCGGAGGACATCTTTTTATTAATTCGTAGCCGCAGGGGACTCGGTCTCTCCCCAAAAACGCGTCGGCTTCCCCTTTTAGTTTAAACGTAAGGGTAAAATTGCCGCTGCACCCCTAAAATGCTATTCGGTGCGATAAGTTGCATACTATGCGCACCATTTAGTTCATTTTAGTTTTATAAGGGTAGTAAATGTAAATTAAACGAAAAGGGGGGTTATTTTGAGTAGTTTTTAATTTAAAAATAAGCTTTTAATTGTTGAATCAATTTTGTTGATAGACTCGTGAGGTTAAATGATATATAGGTTGATAAATATATTTTAAAAGAGTTAACGTTTTCGTATCTTTGTTGGCAAGTTTACAACTTGTTTTAGGATTTAGAGGACTTGTAAAAAGTGTTGTGGAGAAGTCGTAAAGGCATTAAAAGTTAGACGTAGACGAGTTTTACGGAAAAGTTGAGACACATCGTAGCCGTATAAATTCTTTTATTCTATTTTAACCCAATTCGAAAGATTTATCAGATATTGCACCTTCCCTCGTATTTTCAAGGAAATATTTGAAAACAGAAATCAATACTACATTTTTATTCAAGTTGTAACTTTTACAACTTCACAAACAACTAATTTATTTTTATTATTATTATAGAATCGGTGCCAACAGTATCAAAACACAGTCGCAAGATTAAACCAAGAAATTTTTACGCTTCGCCAACAATTAGAACAAGTTACAAATTCATCCCAAGAAGGTTTACTTCAAGCTCAATCGGCCGCTTTACATCGACAAGCTGAAGAATCTCGCAAACAATACGAAAGGTGCTTAGACGACGTTGCTAATCAAGTTGTTAAAGCTTTATTAGCACAAAAGGTGATTAAAATTTGTATTCCCTTTAACTACTAAAGTTGTTAAAGTTTAACACTATGGTAATAAAATATTTTTTAGGGTTTAAGAGAAGAAGTTGGTAATTTAAATAACAAAATACTCGAATTAGAAAATCAAAATCGAGCTCTAACTTCAATGTTAGTCCACCAATTACGCGGTGACATCTCGGAAAGTGATCAAAACCTTTCTAGGTTAGCTTTAGAAGACAAACAATCTGATAATAACACTTCCGCTGACGTTTCTCCTACGAATCTAATGAAATCGAGCCTTAATTTCAAAAATTGTAGCTCGTTTAATTCGGAGTTTCTTTTACCGTCGCCGAATTATAACGAAGAATCATCTTCGTCGCCGGAAAGGGTGGTTAGTCGTATCGAAAAGAGATTATCCGCGGGTTCGGATATTTTAGATACGCGATTTTCTTTGGAAGATAAAAAAAGACATCAAGTTTTAACGCGGCTTTGGACCGAACTAAAAGGAACGGAGGTAACCCCAAAAAGACTAATTGAAGCTTTAAGTAGCGTTGATTCAACACTTTGGGTACCACCACAACGCCCGGTTTCTTTAAATCTTCAATTACCAATATTACAAGCTGCGAAATACAGGAGATCGCGACCGGTTTTAGCACATCAAAGTAGTAACTCAAAAAGTGAAGAAGAAACAACCGGAAACGAATCGCCGGAAAGTAACGGAAATAGAGACGAGGGGTACTCAACTATGTCTTCAGATGTTCAAGCCGAAGTTACACGAGGATCCGGTGGTGATGCATCACAAGGACGGGGATTGGAAGATTTAAAAGAGGAAGAATTATTAGGCGGTGGTGAAACTAGACTTTTGGTAACTGACAATAAAGATCCGGATATTCTTTACATTCCGTTTAATTTACTTAATTTGAAACCAAGAAATAGTTTTCCACCTGGTAAAGATATTATACCTTTTCAACATATCGTTAGAAGCTTTTCTGATTCACATCTTTGTATTAAAATTACTACATCACCAAGTCCTTATTATACTTTTACATCACCTATTTCAAGTAGTCCAAGTATTGTTTTAGTTGATATTACTGAGAAGACAATAAATCCTTTAAGAAGAACGAAAGGAACCGCTAGTTTATTAGGTAAGTTTCAAAGATTAGAGAATCTAAAAAGGGCTGCTACATCCCAGCGTCACTTTAACAGTCTCTTAAGATGGCTAAACGCGAATGTTTTAGTTCTAGTTGATTCTAACTTTGTTTCAATAAAAATATTCAATAATCTTGCGTTGAATAACAATTAAATACTAATCTGAAGACGTATGGCTAAATCCGAAAGTTTCTAGGTCTAGTGTTAGTTCTAGACTAGCACTATCACTAGAACTAACACAAGACCTAAAACTAGAATTATTCGGGTTTAGCCGTCTTGAGAGACGTGCGGCTAAATCCGAATGTTTCTAGTTCTTGGTCTAGTGTTAGTTCTAGTATTGCACTATCACTAGAACTAACACAAGACCTAGAACTAGAATCATTCGGGTTTGGCCGTCGCGAGAGACGTGCGGCTAAATCCGAATGTTTCTAGTTCTCGGTCTAGTGTTAGTTCTAGTATTGCACTAGCACTATCACTAGAACTAACACAAGACCTAGAACTAGAATCATTCGGGTTTAGCCGTCTTGAGAGACGTGCGGCTAAATCCGAATGTTTCTAGTTCTAGGTCTAATGTTAGTTCTGCTTTTAGTTCATGAAAATTATGCAACAATCTAGCGCTGAATAACAAATAAAACTAGAACTAACCCTGAAGCTAGAACTTAAAACATTGGGGTTTAACCGTGCGTTAAATTACAACTGATTTTTTAGTTGGTACCACTTATTATTAATTATGACACATGATTAAAATGTCATTAATGACATCTCAAAATCAATTTAATTATAAAACTATAATTTTTTTAGTTTCTTCAACTGGAAATCCAATTGAATGTCTTCATGAAGAAACAACATCACCACACTCATGGTCGAGTATAGCAGAAGAACGTTTAGAATGTTCAACATGGGACGCGGAATACATTCAACATTGGTTAAGATTAGATGAAACTCGCACAACTCTCCAACAACACCGCGATTTATTTGAATTAGAATACGATCGAACTGAATTGGAAGATTGGAGTTTATCGTTATCAAACGATGATATAAGAGAAAATTGGAAAAGAGATGCTACGACTCCGGGTCAAATTTCTTTAGCGACTTTACCGAGTATCCAAGAAAATAATACTTTAGAATTAGAGGAAGATTCGAACGAGTGTTTATGGAATAATCCGAGTTATTTAATGGATAAGGAAGGTCATGAAATCGTAACTTTATTAATGGATAATGGAAATACAGAGAAACAATGGCCTTACGCTATTAATAATCACGTTAATGGGGTTCAAAATTCGCCTGATAATAGTTGGAGTAGTGGTGGGTCTGATTGTTGTCCATCTCACGAACCGGAAACTTGTTCGAAACGATCATCGGCGGCTTTAAGTGGGTGTAGTGATGATACGGGGGAATTACCGATGATCGGAACTGATTTTACTAGAGATTTTTATAGACTGGTTAAATTTGAAAGTACGAAAAGCTTAGCTTCGACGTCTTCGAGGAGTCTTGGGGGTGCTTTATCAGAAGCAGGAGATAGAGATACAGCATTACAAAACGTTTTAACATTTATAGCGGAACAACAAAAATACGTAACTCAACAAAGAGATAATTCATCAACGACAGTTAGTGAAATCACCAAAGAATTTAACATTGAAGCTCCTCCTCAAGAAAGAGACGAAATTAAATTAGATTGTGATTATATTAGTAATAAATCAAGTTCGACGAATTCGGAACTATCAAAAATTTCCGACGAAGAAAACGTTATTACAGTTGAATGTAAAAACGAACAAAATTTAAATCCAATTGATGTAGAAATAAAAGGTAATTAATTAACTATATTTAAAATATTAAATTAAAATGTATTTTTATTTTTAAGATGTGATGTATGCTGAAGAAATATGTTTAGTAACTCCCATAGATATTGAAAGTGAAAATTGTTCAAATTTAAGTGAACAACCCGTTGATATTTGTAGTAGTGTAAGTGTTGAAATAATGGGTAGAGAAAAAAACGAAGAATTCAACGATTTAATAGAAAACGATTCCTCTTCACTCAACGAATTGATAAACGATCTAACTAATAGCGATACAACTAACAACATGAGTGAATCGATGACTTCTTCAAACAGCACACCCGATACTGTAATTTCAAAGATACCCAGAAGAAAATATTTGCCGTCGAAAATCCCGGTCAGTCCAGCTAAAAACGTTGAATCTAATAGTAATAAAATAAAAAGCAAAATTCCGGCTAAAAATTCGAAAATTTCGCGTCCAAAAACTCCGGCCCAGAAACAAAAATTAATTAAAATTGAAAATGATATTCATCAAGCGAAACAGCATGTAATAACGGCGGAAAAACTTCCTCAACCGACATCGGGGGTTATTAGTAATATTATTGATGGCCCCCCGCATCGAGCCGTTAGTTTTCACGAACGAGCCACCTCCAAAGATGTTATTGATGAATTAAATCGGATGATAAAAAATGGGGAAGAAGGCGAAGCGATTGAGAATGTTAATGTTACAATGGATGAGGCGTGTAGACCTACGGGGTGGGTTCATGTCGAACAGCAAGAAGTTGATTTAAATGATCCAAAGGTAAAATTTTTAATGTAGATTTAACTTTTCGTTATTGAGGAGTGTTTGGCAAATAACCAGATATATAGAGTGTTTGATTTTAGCTATCACAATACATATCTTGATTATTGTTGGAGATATGATAAAATGTTGCTTCACACTTAATATTGCATTATCTGTTATGTTCAAAAAAACAATTGAGCATCAAATGTGTTAGATAAATAGTTATCTTCAATTCAAACCACAAATTTATATTTAAAAAGCAAATGACAAAAAACAAATAAAACTATAATATGAACAAAATATAACAATAAATTAACAAGTAGACTAAGCAATAATAGTATACAATTAGTTCTAGTTTCAATTCAAGAAAAATATACAACAATCTAGCGCTAAATAACAATCAGGCCTTTACCCATAATCGAATAGAAAGACCGTCATTAAAAAATCGATAAACTATGTAAAAATAGAAGGATTGGCAACATTTCCAGATCCTAAAATTGTTTAATTTTTGCAATAATTAATATTAAAATTCAAAATCCCCTCTATAAAAGCTTTGGTGACGTTTACGAGGTTTTCGCGTAAGATCAAAAAATCTGCATTCCCAAAATTAACGTGGATTGTCTATATCCCAGAAGAAATCATTTTTGCTATTAGAAATTCTGTTATTACTGAAATTAGATTCATCTCTCAAAAGTATTCAGTTCAATACATTTAAATTGCTGTTCAGTCAATTACAAAATATCACTCTTCTGTCAAAATCACAAATTTGTTTCATCGCTTACTATTTTGAATAAAGCTATGATCTAAGTAAACGTGTATTTGCTGTTAATAACATCATCATTATCATCATTAAGCAGCTCTCTGCGTTCATTGTTAGACATAGGCCTCACCTATTCTGTTCCATTCGATTTTATTCTGTGTTGTCTGAATCCAATTGTTATTCTTTTGACATCGTCAGTATCGACCTCTCCATCTTTCTTTGCGTTACTTTGAGCATCATAACCGAAAGCACGCATTGATTGAAAGCCTTCCTTTTCAAATGTATAGGAATATCGCTCTTGACGATATCTCTAAATCCTAAGTCATCCAGATGAAGATCCTTTTGTTTAGTTCGCTTGTTTGACTATCTCTCAACACACGAACCTCATGGCCAAGATATACATAACTGTCAACCCTCTCAATCTCATTATCTCCAATGTTGATATTAGAGCTGGAAACAAGATTTGTTATAAATTTCGATTTCTTCACATTGATATTTAGCCCGACTCTTGCACACATTTCCTGTAAGTCGTTCAGCATCAGTTTCATCTCTCCAAGGCTATTTCGCTTGCCTTCTTGGGTCCAATGCAGTTGTTTAAATGCACTCTCCAGAACTATGATGAACAATTTGGGGAACATTTTATCGCCTTGTCTTATCCCACGCTCAATTAATAACACTTTATCACATTTCCAACAGTAATTGAGATATCTGGTGTGACAGCTAAAATCAAACACTGTATTTGTGGGTTGATATCTCCGCAGCCATTCTATGAAATAATCTAAAAATTGGCAATCAAATGGTGGCTGCGATCCTAAACTGAACAGCCATTAGTTTATGTCTAATAAAGAATTATTAATATTGATTGTTGTAATTTTTGTAATTTAGGCTAGAGCAAACATTTTAGACATAATGATGACGTCCGTTTCGAGTGATTCATCACCAACATCATCTTGTGGGGGAAGTGTTACAAGCGAATCAACAGAAGAACCTCCTGATTATGGCCAATTACATAGAATACATCGATTTCATCGACAAAAAAAAGGTACTTTATTTAATTTAATTATAATATGTGTTAACTCTTTTAGTTGATGTAGTAGTTTTTGTTGTTGATTTGGATTTTTAATAATAATAATAATTGTTGCATGTTTGTTTAACCATAAATCCTAACGGTTTATTACTTTCTGGTGGAGGTTGATACGTTTAAATCCCTAAATTGTTAGTTAAATAAATCGACGAATTTAATCGAAAAAAATCCTTTTGTTTCCTGCATTTTAAAAATAACTTTGTATGCTATTAAAAATCCTTTCCTTTTATTATTATTTCTTATTTATTTATTATTTTATTCAAAATTGATTGAAATTTCTTGTATTTTCATCAACAATTTGTGGGGGTTTAAGCGTCATCAACGTGTACTCCAATCACGGAAACGGCAGTTTGAATCGAGGCCCTTCCTTGTAGCACACGCAGCCAGACCGGAAATGATGGCGGTCGTTAGAGCTTCGATGCCACCAGCTCGACCTTCAATAATTGGTCGGCCGGATTTTTTTGTGCGTTATGGTGAGAAGGAACGTGAAGCGGTCGCTAGTTTTGATTTTCTCGATGAATTAACAACGACGAGTAGCAGTTGTTGTTCCGTTGAAGAGGATTCTTTGCCAATCGATGAAGTTATATTCAATAATAATAAAACTGAAAGCGTTGTGTAACAAAAAAAAAATATCTTCAGTAGAAAATCAAAAAGAAATGATTAAAAATTAATAAAAACGTGAATGTGTACCTATTTAAAGAGAATTAAAAAAAATTAAAAAAATAACTTTCTTTTTTGTTGTATTTTTTGAATTATTATTTACAATGCAGTATTTTTATTTTTTATGATTTTTTTAAGTTAGGGTTAAATTATTATGAGATAACTTATTTTTTTAAAGTTAATTAATTTTTTTTTGATTGTTTATGACTTTAATATGAAATACATAAAAGAATAGTGATATTGTCTTTTGCATATGTCTAATTGTGAATAAAATATGTTAAAGACCCTTCCTTTGTACATAAATCTTTTATTTATCGACGAAGAAAAAATTAACAACTAATTACTCTATTTTATTTAAAAATTAAATGGATAAAATCAACTTTATCCATCTTGTTTTTAAATTAAATATAACAAAAAACTTTTAGAACTTTGTTTTAATCGAAATTAAGTTTTTTTATTAAACACTACTTGTAATATATTGATATATATATCTATATATCGTGTTAAAACAAGTGTATACCTTTAAAATCATTTATGTTCCGTACTATTTTTTAAAATCGTTCTCTTATTAGTCGAGAGTTTTTTTTTGTGGTACTTAAAATAAAAGAAAATTGTAATCAAAATCATTGTTTAGAAAGAATGAGAAATAAAATCAAACATTATCATGATGATTTTTTAAATTAAAACGAATTATTAGTTCTTAAAATAAAGAAAATCGTAAAAACACGTTTTTTTTGTTGTGATAATTAAATAAAAAGTAAACGTTTTCTTGTACATTAATTGAGAATTAATTTTTTACTTAACCTTGTTATTTATATTCGTTTTTCTTTTGAAGAAGAAACATCTCCCTTTTTTCTCTCAATTTTTGTGTATTATACGTGTGTAGAGTGATGTATTTTTATATAGGCTTACTTACATACATAATATATTTAGTACAAAACCTAGAAAATAAATAATATTCAATAAAATAGTTGTGTTGTTTGATTTTAATGGTTCTCTTAAAATCTCTAAAAAAGATTGAAAGAGGAGGGTAGAGACTCACCGAAGTACGGATTATGGGCAGAGATAGGAAGATGTATAATAAGATGGATCCAAAACCCAACACCGTAAGGTATAAATAGGGGCAAGAGAAAGAAGAGAAGCTTTATTATCATGTTAATTAATATAACACAAGACTTAAAAAGAAATTGATAAAGACCTCAGGATAAGCCGGTATGTCAAATCCGGTTCAAACAAAAGAAAAATCACTTACCTTATTACGTCATCGTCGTTATCGTTTTCCTACTCCAAATAGGCGGCGTTTTCTTTTTTAAAAAAGTTTCCTTTCTTCGTTTTTATTTCTTTTTTCCAATTAATTTAACATTTAAACCGTTTTTATATAATTTTCACTTGACTTTATTTTATTTTTCTCGGTGTACCCAATTTCGACGGCGACTCGTTCGTGTCCAAACAGCATCTCTTTTGCGCGTCGTTTTTTGCACACGCTTTTGTTATTCTTTTATTTTAAAAAATGATCTCTTCTGATTGGTCGATTAAATAGTTTCAAAAACTAGTTACCCGGTGTTTTCTAATTATGGAATATACAGGGTCTTAATGTCGATTTAATATACAGGGTCTTCGAAATTATATATTTTCATTTGTAAACAAAACTTACCTAACATTTCTTTTTTGTAAAACTAACCTTACTTAACATTTCTTCTCGGTTTAATTAACATTTCAAAAGAAAACTAAATTTACTCAATATTCCTTCATGGTATACATAATTGACATTACAAAAGAAAACTAACCTTACTCAACACTTCTTCACGGTTTAATTACCGTTTCAAAAGAAAACTAACCTAGCTCAACATTCCTTCACGGTATGATTGACATTACAAAAAAAAACTAACCTAACATTCTTTTGTGGGATGATTAGCATTTGTAAACAAAACTAACCTAATCCAATACAACATTCTAACTAAAACTAGTCTAAATCGTATTGCAGAGTGTCGAGCGCAAGCTGAGATTCATAAAGCTTTAGCTCTGAACTGTTGACGAATGAATTTTATTTATATCAAAATTTGTGTCGCCATCTCGTATCCACTAATACATACTATTATAATTTCAACTCTTTACAAAAGATGTCGTTAATATTGTTTAACAATAAGATTTAAAATTTATTAATATCAGTGAATATAATTAAGATATGTGTATAAATATATCTAGAAATGCCTATTTAATGATATAACAAATAAAAACTATTTTTGAAAACTTTATATTTTTATTATACATGAAACTGTTACAATTTGAGTAACACTACAAATAATGAACATATTGAAATCACGAGAACCTAAATAACAATAAAATTATAATAAATTGAAGAGAAAAGAGGACCTATCCGAAAACTAAAAAGAAACGAGAAAACGATATCCCTTTTTCGGAACGTTCCTAACTAATAATAATAATAATGAAATAAATCTATTGCAAAATAACTCGTAAAATTTGATATTTGTATTTTATTTCTTAAGTTTGTTTAGAATTCGACGAATGAAACAAAGAAAACTATATACACCGGAAACGATCTCCTTATTATGTTCCTTTACATCTTTCATCTTCAAAAAAACCCGGATTTATTATTATTTTTTCTTTTTATCCTTAATACTTTCAGATCTCAAAAACATTTTCTTCCACATAACTTCATAATTTACTAAGATGACTAAAAATCATCATCATTCACGAGTTTTACAAACAGATCCCCGTTACATGATATACACATATTAATATATGTAGTTTTTAGACACTAATTCTTCGTACATCTTGTGTTTTTTTTTGTATTATTTTTTAATCCGGGTAAGTAGCTTAACGTCAAAATGAAACGTAAAAAAAATTGCGTTTTACTTTAATAATATTTTTTTATTGATATAATAATATACAGAGGAAGGGTGATTTTTGTTTTAAATGAACACACTGTATATTATAAATTATTAATAATTATAATAATAACGTAATTGCGAAAAGAAATGATTTAAAAATAAATTTTATTTGTGTAAAATCTTTTTTTGTTTTTTCTTTTTTTTTTGAAATTCTTTCTCCAAGTCGGCATCCTTCTTTCTTCTTTTTATTACCGTTTTAATCTTAATAGTATATGTACAAGTAGAACTCTTCAAAAATTTACAACAACCATTCTAATTTCGAAATATTCATCATTATTTCTTTTATTACGATTAAATTTTCTTTAATTTTTATTTTTTAACGCACTTTATTAACAGAAAATAATTGAAATGTATCATTAAAGTTAATTAGTTAACAAAGTGCATTAAAAAATTATTGCATTATATCCAATTAATTGTTTTTAATGAATAATATGTGATATAAATGAAGATGTACTACTCACAACACAAAAAAAATTTCGGACAGAGACTTCATCATTATTTTTATTTCATCATCATCACTTGGTTTTTCTTTTCTAATTTTTAATAATATTTAGTAATTATACCCTTCCTTATTTACTCACACGCAATTTATTTTATTTTATTTCATAACTTTTTAATTATTTTTGTATCCTCTCATTTGTTAATGTTAACTTCGCGTTATGACAGTAGTAATAATTGTTTTCTTTTAATCGCTAAATCTTAAAAACTAGAATAATATTAAATAGTACAGCCAGACTTGTAGAAAACATTCTCACGGAACTTTCAAACTCAAAAAAAAATCAAAGAAAAAAAAACTTGGTTGTCTGTTTACCCATTTTTTTCTTTTTTAATATAATAATTCGTAATATTAATAATTATACTCTTTCACACGTTACACTCGCTTATATTCGGTTTTATTTGAGAGTGCGGACGTCGCCAAGGACTTCAGTGGGGGAGGGCGACGTCTCAAACACATCCAAAAATAAAATAATTATAAAATAACTAATATTTAAATTTGTTAATTATGTAATAGTAATAATTATTAATGTTATTTTAATAATTAAGCGGGCTGGCGGCGCGCTTGATCAGAACACGAAACAAAAAAACATGAAATTTAATTAAAGAAAAAAAAATCGTCGATTACGAAACTAAGTTTATATAATTATATATTTATATATTTAATTTTTTTTTCTAAACGATGTAGTACACTCACCTCGTAAAATTGCGCATCAAAATCAAATTGAAACGATTTCATTTTTTAACACATAATTTTACGAAATTTGTACTCGATTTACCATTTTTTTTCTTTGTAATTAAGTTTTTTTATCTAATTTTTTTACGTTTGTTAACTTTAAATTTTGTTTCTTTTATTATTAGATGAACGTGTTGTTGTTGGCTTTGTTGTCGACGGAGGGCGAGCCCTCTTCGTTCGGGGGACACCTCCACCATCGACAACAGCACGCAAGTTTGCTCGCAATTTTGCGGACGACGACCCCTGCCGTTGAAGACGTGTTGACATTTGACTGTTGTTGCAGGCGTTGTTGAGTTGTATAGTGTTAGCGATTACCTGTAATTAATCCACTTAAAAAAAAACAAAAAAATTTCTTCAGGAATATGTTTAAAGATTTTTACACATTTAACTTTTTAGTGATCTCTATAATTAAATTTAAAAGTTAACTTTTTTAAACCAGTGATTCCCAAACTGCTCTTATTACACAAGAACACACGGTTTTGGACGTGAGCAACTAAATCTTATTTCTAAGGTAATTAGGGTCGCTGAATCTGAATCTATAGTACATTTTTTAAGATTGATTCTAGTTATTGAGATATTTAATGAAGTAATGACGCACGGCTAAACCCGATAATTTTAGTTCTAGTTTTACACTAGCACTTTCACTAGAACTAACACAAGACCTAAATAGAATCATTCGAGTTTAGCCGTCTTGAGAGATGTGCCTTACATTTGGCAACTTTTAACTGCAATATATCAGTTGCAATCAATGCTGCCAACACATTTCTTTTGAAAGATTGAGCCACATGTACACAAAGAAACCAACAAAACACGTTATGTCGTTATATTTTACAGTTGGTAACACAAAAAGTAACTAAAAAACTAACCATACTTTCAGCGCAAGTTCAAGAAATATATAGGTGTCCGGAAATTGCATCTATATATTTAAAAAGATGATTCTACAACAAAAATCATGAAGAAAAGTTTATATAAAGTCCGGTTCGAAAATGCTTCCTAATAGCGCTAGAGCGCTTTAAAGATGGCACTCAAGAAGTATTTTTTTAGCGTTATCTCAAAAACGGCAAGGTCATGCCGAAATTTGGTCTACATGGTTATTTTTACGTGACAAATGTGATAATCAAAAGAAAAGAAATAAATAATTTATGGGGTCCAACATAATAGGTAGAGGGCCACATTTTTTTTGTCTCCATAATTTTTTGCTATTTTCAATGTATCAATCAATTCTGCGGAAAAATACATAAAAAAGGTACTACTTAAAGAATTGTCTAAAACCAGTCGTTTCCAAAAAAAAATGCATTAAACGATTCGCGGCACCTCTTTCAATATATAGACGCAATTTCCGGACACTCTGTATGTCCAAACCTATCATCTGCAAGTGCAAGACTTTACGTCAAACTCAATACGGAAGGTTCGAACAGTATCAGATGTATTCCGTTCCAAAACTATACACAGACACTCAAAAATTGGAGTCTAAAAAACCACCATTAGTCCTATCTTGTGCTTATGGATGCGAGACATGGATTATGACAGAGAGCGCAAAGGCTAAGCTGGAAATATTTGTAATGAGGAAAATCTTTTGTCCAATAAAGGCGAATAAAATATCGAGAAGGCGATACAATGTGAAACTTAACTATGTGTTCAAGGAAGCCCTTATTTATTTCAGAATTCGTTACGCTGCAAAGACTGCAATAGGCTAAATTTAGAATGTCAAAAAAGCTCTTAAACAGCAGAATACAAGGCAAGAATCCAAGAGGGAGGCCACGAAAACGATGGGAGGACGAAGTAATGGTGGACGCACAACGACTCATAAGCGTCAGAATCACGAAGATTCAGTTGTAAAAAAACACTTTGTCGCAGAATTTGCTAAGAAAGATTTATTCAAATACCGTGTCTTAATCAGACTTCCTCATTGTGGACAGATATTAAAGATACAAGCTCAATCTTCAAGGGAAAGTTCAAATGCAATTTGGAATAAAAGTTACTAAACAATAAAATTTGTTGTTCAAAAGTAAGCCATAGATACTTTTTCAAAAAGATCATACAAGATATGTTTTTGCCTGGATGTTTAATATTAGCCCAATTTATTGAACATTGATTTTTGGCTTCATAAATATTCATGATTTGATATATTATGCAGAAAAGTCGTAAATAATATAGCTAAATTACGTTTATTTATACCTACTAAATCAAGCTGTCTTTAGAATTAAGATCCAGTAACCAAAGAGGTCATTCAATACTACCAACCCTGATCTACCAATTATTGTCCAGGAAATACCTCACTCAGCTAACGTCAATAATTTACAACAAAATGAGTTGGAGCTCCCTTTTGTTGAAATCATATCTGAGTCATCTAGATTGCAGCCATCTTCAGTTAATTCTTGCATCATATGAATTTAGTATGATTTAAATTCATTTTTATATAATTCACGCAAGATTGAAGAATGACTTACATGATTTGCTCTTTGGTGTCCATTCCACAAGATTTACAGTTTCACATACCTTTGATTTGCAACAAGAAATTTTTATTTTTATTAAAAATGAAAGAGATACAGAAGAATACAGAGAAAACAGGCACTTTTTGAAGCAACTGAAAAAATATCAGCTTTTATAAAAAAAAAAAACCAAGGAGCAGAAAAGCTGGTGAAGATAAGTTTTGACGCCAAATAAATATGATATTTCTAAGTCATAGCTATTTGAGGGTTGAGTTGTATCCAGTTTAATTGCACGATTTTAAAGAATGTACAGATTTTTGAATTTAGTTAATAATGTAACAGAAAAACTAATAATAAAGATACACGAATTTTATTTACAAATTCAGTTACTGATGAAAAGTTTGGGAATCACTGTTTTAACTGCCAATATTTTACAGAGTTTTTTAAATTTAATTTGTTCTTATTTTGTTAATAAATAATACGTTATTTTTATTTTACAAAAAGAAAATTAACAAATCGACACAATGGTTACATTTTATTTCTCCACACTTGTTTTAATGAGGATCACCCCATCACGGGTTCACGGTGGAAAAAAAAAAGAAAAAAAAAACAGAGACACAAAATGAGAGACTAAATTAGAAAACGCTTCTACGAGTTATTATTATTCAAAAAATCAAGATCAGTGGCCCTTCGCAGATGCCTTCACAGCGTCTGTGGCCAGATGGGGGGGATTCACTTTCGGGTGTGCCGTGATCACTTTCGACAACTTCCTGTCAACGACTTCTCTATCTTTATCTTTATCACGACTTACTACAACACCCGAAAAAGAAAAAAAAAACGTCCAAAAAGAAAATAACGTTAACGTAAAATTTTGTTTTTAAAATTTTCGTTTTGGATCACTTTGCGAACACTTACCAATTTGTGGATTGACGGCTTGGGACGGTTGTGCCTGCGTGGAGGATCCGCACGCGGCCCCCGAACCAGCCGCTTTTTGTTTTAGCATTGTCCAATCGAACGTGTAATCGTATTGATGATTCAAAGTGCGAAACAGTATACGGAACAGCTGCCTGAGGTACATGTAATCAGGGGCCTCCTCAAATCTAAGACCTCTACAGTAATTCAGGTACATGGAAAATTCGGCTGGAAAACCCTAAAAATTTAAACAAAATTAATTAATTAATTTTTTTTAAGACTTTTAATTTGTTAACAATCGGAAATAGAAATGTACAGTAATCTCATTCAGATTATTTTTATCTCATTTTAAGTATTGATTGTTTCATTTAAAAATTAAAATAAAAATTTTACCTTGCATAAAACTTCTACGGGAGTAGACATTTTCTTCTCGCTAATCTTCTCGTACTTTTGCTTTTTGGTGGCGGCTTTTAATCCTTGCCAAGGCAAACATCCACGATTGAAATACATAAGAACGTAGCCGAGACTCTCCATATCGTCGCGTCGCGACTGCTCGATACCCAAATGGGCATTGATCGAAGCGTACCGAGCGGTCCCCGTCAGGTTCTTGTCCTCACGGTATCCGATGTGACAACGAGTACGCATATCGCGAAACTTCTTTGCCAAACCAAAGTCGATCAGGAAGAGTTTGTTACAGTGACGTCCGATGCCCATTAGGAAATTGTCGGGCTTGATGTCACGGTGTATAAACGATTTGCAATGCACGAACTCGACGCGACCGATCATTTGATCGGCCAGCATCAGTACGGTTTTTATTGTAAAACGACGCGAGCAGAAATTAAAGAGATCTTCTAAGGAGGGACCCAATAGGTCCATTACTAATACATTGTGCTCTTTTTCTTGACCATAGTATCTGCAAGAAAAAGAAAAAAAATTGATTACAATAGAAATATTTTTATTAAAATTAACATAATATATTTATATAAAACATATCTTGGGCAATAAACTTTGAGATTATCAAGATTAAGAGTGAATCAGCAAGAATTTGGCAGAAATGAATCACACGTTTCTTTAATTTTGCCAACAAAAAGAAAAAAATGTGATTACAATAGAAATATTTTTGCTAAAATTAACATAATATATACAAAACATATTTTGGTAATAAACTTTGAGATTTTCAAGATTAAGAGTGAATCAGTAAGAATTTAGCAGAAACGAATCACATGTTTCTTTAATTTTGCCATGTCGCAAAAAGGTCTAGATAATCAAAATTCTTAGTACTCATCAAATCCGTAGACTACAAACCCGAAAGTTCTGGCTAATGATAAACCATGCAGCATTATAGCAGTTTTCGAGATTTATTAATTGATCAAGTTTAAATAATAAAATCTGCACCAAGATGAATACACTACATTGGTCAATGGAGAATGTCAAAAGTCTTCCATAACATTGAAGTGGAATTCTGATATTCTTTAGCAAATGTGAGGTTAAGATAAGGTGGGAAAGATCCTATACGAAATGAGACATTTGCAGAACGTCACACTCAGTTGCAAAATTTTTGGGTTGAGATTATAAGATTATATTTTGCAAAATAATCAAATAGGGTTTGCTTATGACATTCAATTGAGAGTCTTGGACTAAGAATGAGGTTGAGACATCGAGATAGTATTGGTTCTGTTCGAATTGTGATACTTTTTGGTCCATAATGAGGTTCGGTTGACACATTCTATTTCTTATTATTTCTTTTGATATCAGGATGAGATTGTCATATTCATATTCTTATACTAAGAATGAGGTTAAGACATTGAGATAGTATTGGTTCTGTTCGAATTGTGATACTTTTTGGTCCATAATGAGGTTCTGTTGACACATTCTATTTCTTATTATTTCTTTTGATATCAGGATGAGATTTTTGAATTTCCCATGAGACTGGATTGAGATATTCTAACACTCAGAGTGAGGTTAAGACATCGAACTGGTATTGGTTATTCAAATTGTGATACTTTTTGGTCCATAATGAGGTTCGGTTGACACATTCTATTTCTTATTATTTCTTTTGATATCAGGATGAGATTTTTGAATTTCTCATGAGACTGGATTGAGATATTCTCAGATTCAGAATGAGATGAAGACATCAAGATTTGATAATTGGATAATCTCGGATATTAGATTATGATATAGATTACGATGTTATATTTGATGGCAGTTATAAATCTTGAAACTAAAACCAGAGCTAACATTAGCACTAGAACTGACGCTAGTCTAGTGTTAATAATAACAATAATAATAAAACCCGAACCTTTCTAGGTCTAGTGTTAGTTCTAGTTTTAATTGTTATTCAGCGTTAGATTGTTGTACATTTTTATTGAACTAGAACTAACACTAACGCTAGACCAGTGTTAGTTCTGGTTTTAGCTTCAAGAACATTAACACTAGAAATTTCAAACTTAATAAATATAAACAATTACGATAAATTTTAAATGTGCGATGCATATTTATAAAACAATTTGAAGACCCATTCTTGATTATGGAGCTCCCATCTTCCTTAATATCAGCAAAAAGGCGACATCGCATCTAGAAGTAGCAGAAAGATCAGCAATTAGAATAAACTTCGAAACCCCAGAAATCCGCTATTCAACCCCTCTAACAATCTCCTTTATGAAAAACTCCAAATTATTCCCATTACTCAACGAATATCTCTCCTCGCACAAAAGCTTACAAAAATATGTTCTCCTCTTTTCCAATCCTCAAATTTTGACACTATTTACAAGAAAATCGTGGATTCCTAAAAGATGACTAATCAGTGTAACATGGGCAGAAGGACTACGGTGGGTAGCCCGTTCCAGCTTCAAAGTTTAACTTTAAGTTTACATTGTATAATAATATTATTTAATTTTTAATTGTATTGTGATAAGCTGAAATAAATTTGGAAATAAATATCTTTCTTTCTGTCTATAAACAATTTTAAAGAAAGAAAAAGTGGAATAATTTTAAAGAAATTAAACAAACTTTATAACTTAATTGAATTAGGCAAATTTCACGTTACAATCTTTTTTGAATTAATTTTTTTTGTTACTGTGATGTGTTTGAGCGCTACTCAGTTGGGACCACAGGGGATCATTTTGAGGACGACGACCCCAAACCGAGAACGACGAACACCGGTGATCGGTTGTTGTCATCGCGGTTCGCGTGTTCACCACAATACTCAAATGTATACACTTGGTTTTACAAAATCACAAAAGAAAAATAAAGCCACCAAAGAGAGGGTGCAATTTTAACTCTAATTACCGAACGTTTTTTCGACGCAAAAAAGAAATGTTCGTATTGAAAGGAAGAAAGCTTCTTTTTATTTTCGTACGGTTACGTTACGGATTTCAATGTTTTCGTCGTTGCGGGCCCGAAAGAAAAAGTTTCAAACCAGAGTATAACTGTTACGCTTTTTACACCTGGATGAAAATTTGCTTTCTAATTCAATACTTTTAATTTTTTTTTTAATAATATAAAAAAATATTTTGATAAATAAGATTGTTTTTAAATAAAAAAAAACTTTCTCCTTAGTCTTATCGATAAAAGGATGTTGCGGTTAAAATCGCGAATTAAATTTCTACAAATTATAAAATAAACGACGCAATTAAAACAAAATTACGCAATTATTTTTTTTTTAAACGAATCGTTTTTCTCAAACGTATTTCTAAAACTAAGATAACATTGAGTGTATTTCCAAAGCATAGATTTACGAGATCAATCATGCTGCTACTTACTAAACACATTTTTTAAGTCCTTGAATAGTGTGTATAATTCACGCGTGCGCTCAAAGTTAACGGAAAAAAATCTCCTTACTTTATTCAAGGTTTTTTGTTTTATCAAAAAAAAACAATACGTTTTATTGAAATTAATTTTTGTATCAAAAAACGATTATAATACATAAAAAATTTTATGTAGCAACAAAAAAAAAACATTTCTTTTGGCTGCATTAAAATCGGGTACGCACACTGTGAGAGAGACATTTCGGCGAGAACCACGTTTTAAAAATAACTCTCGGCGCGTGTCCCTACAAACCGAGCAATAATAATAAAGGAGACTACGAGACGAGACTTTTTCTCGCGACGCAATAATCATACAAAAGATACAATCGAAAAATTAAAAAAAAAATTATGAATCATAGTATTTTTTTTTTGTACATCGTCGATAAAAGAAGCTGCCTTTTTACGGTGTTGTTCGTTTTGTCGACGTGGATATTTTCAAATCGATACCACTTTCACCGTTGTGTTGCGTGGGCTAAATTCGTAAAATTTCGGCGCGTGTACTTATTATTAACACAACGAAAGAATTATTTTCTGGATGGCCAAGAAATTTGTATTTATGAAATAATATTAATACAAAAGATAACGAATTATTTACTTGAAACATTGATTAACCATCACAAACGTGTTATACGAAATATTGCGCAATACACGAACAAAGAGGTACCATGAAAACGTGTCAGGACACGTTTTAGCAGCGCACGTAGATGTGTACGCTCCCTAAAGTCTAAAGAGTACCAAGAAATTTAGAATACATTAAATTAATCAAAATAATGTTTTATAGAAGAAGAATTGTATGGAGCAGTCATAATTCCAGGTTGATTGTTCAAATACAAAACAACGATAATAATTACCCGGATAAAATCGTAGTTAACTTTATGATTGGGTTCAATGCAAAACAAGTATATGAAACGAATATATACGGTTTTATTAGCAATACGTAGACCAAACAATACGCGCAACACAAAAAAAGAAATAATAATTTTGCCATTTCCGCCGAGAAAATATGATCCTCGTAAAATATTTTCTTTCTAACTGGTTTCCACAGTTTGCAAAGCGAACGCATTCTTTGTCAATGAAAAAAAAACTAAAATAATGATATTCCATTTGAGAAGTACCAATATTTATCTTTCTAATTAATCGATTGTTGAGAGATGCTGATTTCACCTTTAGCATATATTGCACAATATGTTTTGCTCTTTACTGGTTAGAATAAAACTGAAATTATTTATTAATTTACAGTCAGTGCATCACATGTTCATGTATATTCTTTAGAATTTGATTAAGTTCGGCCAAGGATTTTGATAAATATAGTTCGTTCATCGAACAGATTCAGCGATTTTAAATTACAACTCCTCCCACTTCTGCAGGCAGAAGAATAAACATTGTTTGTAAACAGCGAAAAATAGCTGGAAAAACATTAACACAACGAAACAGTAATTTAGACTATGTATTGCTTGTAGAAAACTAAATATTGTTTGCAAAAACTAGATGGATCTTGATTTTGTAAAGCTGCAGCAACTGCCAGAATAATTCCATGGTCAGCAATATTCAAATGATTTGTAGCCACAGGTGCAACATAACGAACTAACGATGCAATGTATTACACTCACACGTTTATCTCGTGAGACTACAAATTACGATGATATTCTCATCATTAATCTAGTACCGCTTTTCAATACTGATAACTTTTTAGCTTTTGTAAACATAATAGTATATCTAAAAACCAAGTCCAGAATGATATTCCAATGAAATTGTTGTAAGCGCTAACAGACTGAGTATGAAAATACAAAAACAGTTTTAAAAGTAAAAAATACATCTATATATCAATATTTATCTTATCAATATAGAAATACCTACCACGTGTGGCGGTAAATTAAATAAAATAATATACATTTCATGTGAGATTTTTGTAAATGAAAGGATAAACATTTCATTTAAAACAATCAAATGATTAATTAAAAACGTTTACTAACAAAAACTTGGATAACAATTCGAGAATTGTAAACCTATCAAAAACGATAAGACTCAAGGAAATTAACAAGTAATGAGTCAAGATAAATTTAAACAATTTTTGATAAAAAAAATCTATAACATAAAAAATTAATGTATCATATACAGTGAAATTCCTCTAATTCGAACTTCTACACCTTGAATTATCCTCTAAGGCGAATAATTTTTGTATGCTCAAGCGTTTTACCAGATTTCCAATGTGTTTTTATCTTTCTATGTCGAATTCCACTAATTTGATCTGAACTACTATGAAATTACTTCTCCTTTAACTTCTATATGTGGAATTTCCCAAAGAATAAACTATTTGAATTCGTTCTGTAAGTCAACAGACGCGCGGCTATAAACCCGAAACTTTCTAGTTCTAGGTCTAGCGTTAGTTCTAGTTTTAGTTGAATAAAAGTGGACCTGGAACTAGAAACATTCGGGTTTAGCTGACTTATGAGACGCATGGCTAAACCCAAATGATTCTAGTTCTAGGTATAGTGTTAGTTCTACATAGTAACAGTCCTAGTGTAAAACTAGAACTAACACTAGACCTAGAACTAGAAACATTCGACATTATTACGAAACTTTCTAGTTCTAGGTATAGTGTTAGTTCTAGTTTTAATTGTTATTCAGCGCTAGATTGTTGTATATTTTTATTCAACTAGTTGAAAGGTTAAATATATGTATTAAAAAAAGTAAATTTCTATTTTTTTTTCCTTTAGAGCTAAAATTCAACTAATTCTTCTCTAACTAGAGGTTTTTGTTCCACTCCCTTAGCAACTTAAAGGAATTTCACTGTATTTGTATATATTTTAGCATCAAAAACATTGCAATCGATTTATTTAAAAAAAAATTACTTAAAATACTTACCTGATATGTGGTATACCGATTCCTCCATGAAGGATCTTGTATAGCTTACTCTCATATAAAAGTTGTGGATGTCTTGCTCGAACTGATTCTAGTTTCACAGCAACTTCCTGGATAAAAAAACAAAAAAAAAAAAATTAATTTGATTTCCTGTTGAAAATTACAAATTAATGGTAAGGTTTAGTCATTGGCCTTCAAAGAACGAAAAAACAATTAAGAAACGTAAAGAAAAATAATAATAAAGGATTCTGTTGAAACCAAGAAATGGTTTTGTAATCATTTTTTTTTATTTTGTATTTTGCATCCTGGTCGTATAACCTACATTCGAAATAATATGGTTGCAAAACAACGTCGCATCAAATTTTTTTTAATTACTTTTTATCATCGATTTTTTACGTTATTATCATTATACGTGATTAATAATAAAAGGAGTTATTGAAAATTATTCGCTGCGAGACTTGGTTTATTTAGAAAAGTTTTCAAAAAAGAAGCTTTGGGTCAAAACCAGATATGGCTGCCGAGAAACTTCGTGGAAGACGACGGCGATCATCATGTCAAAGGATTCTATTAAATCCTAAAACTCTCTTTGTATCGAAATCTCTGCGTTTTCATATTTTACGTTAATGTGATTTTTTTATGGTAACGCCCGTGAACGCACTCACCTCGCCGTTCGTAATGTTGATACCCAAGTAAATGTCACCAAAAGATCCACTACCGATTTTACGGACTAAACGATATTTTCCACCAACTATAAACTCAGGCTTGACGACCAGTGTGGCTATGGATGCCATTAGATAATTGTCTTCGTCTTTACTTAAAACGAACGATTGTGTAATTTAGAAGGTTTACCCACAAATATTTCGTGCACAATTAACTATCACTTGTTCTTACAACAGCGCGACATGTCTAACTTTCCTTGACTGAACGTTCGCCTGACGTCACACCAACTACCAACATCAACACCATCTACCAATAAAATCACTAAATATATTCAATTATTTTATACGAAAATTCCGATTTATACTTTATTTATTAATAATAAACATAATATACCATTAATTCGTAATCGTAAAATAATTTATTTTATTATAAACTTTTATTAATTTAAAATAAACTTGATATTATGCGACACGTAAATTACAGATTTCTATATTTTAAAATATAATTCATTTATTTTTATATTAAAAAACACTATTATTTATTGGAAATTCATTTATATCGAAATTAATGTAGATATTTATTTAAAATCATAATTATTTTAAATTTTTCAATTATAAATAAAAAAAACTTGTTTACTACCAACATAAAAAAAGCAATGACACTAGATATTTTTGGTGGCAAATTTAAATTCACATTCCTTATTTATTAAAAATTAAATATTTTAAATATTATTAATATTTATTATAATAAAATTTATTTTAATATTTATTTATCATTTCGTTAATTCTAAACACACAAGTTAACATTTTAGGTTTCAGGTACAATACTTTGACAGATGACCAACTTTAAATCTACTTTAATTTAATTTGTTATATCACTTTATATAATAACGAGATAATTTTGGCACCACTGAATGATTATTAAAACCTTCCTACCATCATGAAGCTCTGTAATAATATTTGTTTGCAACTCATAACTTTTTCGGTTTTTCAAACCATGATATTCTTTAATCACAGGGTAAACTGTTGATTTTGCAACCCCTACAAATAAAGCATTATTATTTTGTAACTTTGATATAATTTTTAAAACATATATCTTACCAGTACCAATTTTATCAATAATATCATTTTCATTAATAAAGGTAAAACCTGTTATGAGTTACTACTAGCGTCAACATCCATGTTTAGTTCTAAGAACTTAATTCTCTCAATTAAATTGAGGTATTGCCCCTAAAGAGGCTTAGAACACAGGAATCATTGAGAAGTCGGTAACCTAACCTATAAACTAAAGCGCTGTCAAAACTAAAGTATATACAGCAAGGTCATTTTGGTTACAAAATTAAAATAATTTAAAAACTTAATGATTTAAAAAAGAATATGATTATTTAAAATTTCACTAAATCATTCTAATTTGTAAAAAAAAATCAATAATATTTATATTTCGATTGTATTAAATTAATAAATTAAGATTTTATTGCCAACCTAAAAAAGTGAGTTGGTACTTTTCATTTCCAATCAACATTTTTATTTCAACAACATGAGCAATTTTTAATCCAGTTCTGAAAGGGAAAAATTAAATTTAACTCAACCTCAAGTGATAATTACCATTTAAACTCGTCATGGCTTTGGTTATGAGAAATTTTTCAAGAATATTCGCTCAGGTTATTTATAATTTTTAAAAAAGAACAGTTTTATTTTTTTAAAATCCCTATTTTGCATAAACTCAAAAAATTAATCACGTGGTCTTTTCGTTACTTTTAGGGTGCCCAACAAAATTTAAGAGGGATACACTCAACCACTCCCGCTAATACACCTGTAAGTAACCGCTTTTGTGAAACCTAACCAAAGAAAAATGCGTTACATAATAACACCACATTTTTTCTTAAATTTGATTTTTAAAGGCTGTTTCTGAGCGTCCTGATACACGTACGACGTGTACTTTAATTCCTGGAGATGGTGTAGGCCCCGAATTAGTATATTCGGTTCAAGAACTCTTTAAAGCAGCTGCTGTTCCTGTTGATTTTGAAACATTTTTCTTTTCGGAGGTTAACCCAACATTAAGCGCCCCGTTAGATTCTGTTGCAAATTCAATATCGAAAAATCGAGTATGTTTGAAGGGTATTTTAGCCACTCCGGATTACAGCCATACCGGCGAATTGCAAACTTTAAATATGAAACTACGAACCACCTTGGATTTGTATGCTAATGTTGTTCATGTGCGTTCTTTACCTGGTGTTAAAACCAGACATGAAAACATTGATTGTGTTATTATTCGTGAACAAACCGAGGGGGAATATTCAGCTTTAGAACATGAGGGTGTTCATGGTGTGGTGGAATGTTTAAAAATTGTTACTGAAGAGAAGTCTAAAAGGATTGCTAAATTTGCATTTGATTATGCCACTAAAAATGAGAGAAAAAAAGTTACTGCTGTACATAAAGCAAATATTATGAAGTTAGGGGATGGATTGTTTTTAAGGAGTTGTGAAGCTGTTTGTATTATTGATTATAAAAAATAATTGGATGTTAAAAGGAAAATTATTTTTAGATGGCTAAATTATATCCAAAAATTGAATTCGAAAGAATGATTGTTGATAATTGTACGATGCAAATGGTGTCTCGTCCTCAACAATTCGATGTGATGGTTACCCCAAATTTATATGGAAATATTGTTGATAATTTAGCATCTGGATTAGTTGGTGGAGCTGGTGTTGTTGCTGGGGCTTCTTATTCAGCTCAATGTGTTGTTTTTGAACCTGTAAGTTAATTTAATTAATAAGTGTTTTTTAAAAACAATATTAATTATTTTTTAGGGCGCGCGTCACACTTTTGCAGAAGCTGTTGGTAAAAACGTAGCAAATCCAACAGCTATGATGCTTTGTGCTGCAAAAATGCTTCATCACGTTAATTTACCATCTTATGGAACAATGATTCGTAACGCAATTGATAAAGTACTTAGAGATGGGAAAATACGCACAAAAGATATTGGTGGTCAATCAAGCACCCAAGATTTTACTTATGCTGTAATACATAATTTACAACATAAACAATAAAAAGATATATTATTTTGAAATGTTACGATTAAAAAGTACAATAATAACTCGTAATAGCCACAATTTTAGGGAATGTGTGGTTAATATTTATATAATAATATTTGATTTTATTTATTAGCATTTTTTGATTTAATAATTTAAAAAAATTTTATCATTTAATTTATTGATTTTAATTATTGGATTTTAATGATTTGTATTCAGAAAGAAAAGTATTATAATAATTAGAATAAAGATGTGGTATTAATGGAAAAGTAGTATAATTTATCCTCAATTTAAACAGTTTTTTAGTATTTATAAACAAAATAATTTAATTTTTAAATTTGACAAATATTAGAAGCGCCATCTATTATAAGCAATGTAAAGTTTTATGTTACAATTATTTATTAAGAAAATAATCAAGTGAATAATATACAATATAAATCAAAATCTTAAAAAAAGTAATAATTTAATAGTTATTAATATTTATAAAAGAAATTTTTTAATGTTTTTAAAATGGAAAATCAATTAAAATAAATAAAATGACATGTCAAAATTTCGCGCGAAATTCGAATTTTAATAATCAAAACTTTTTTTATAATTTTATTTTTGATAATACACCACTAAAATTCATATTTATAAAGTATATTCATGTTACTACTAATTTTAGCCGGCTGAATATATTTCTTGACAACCTCTTTTTTTGTTGAAACCATACTTTTTTCTAAGCTTTCGTCGAAAGCTTTCGATTTTATCGAAACGTCGTCATCCTTTTTGTTATGTTTTTTACTTTTTCCAATCATTTGGATGGTTTTTTCCTTAATTGAATTCCTTTTAACTTTTTTAGCCGATAATTCTCTAACTGGCGACATCATTCTCGGAGAAGTTGATGCGTCTTTTGTGAATTCTTCAATCTTAATTACAGGTTTTAACTTTTCTTCATGTTTAGCTTTTCTATATTCATTATAAATGCTATCCCAAGCGCTGTTTATACGTTTATTCATTCGATCCTCGTAATCTCTAAATGTATTTGGATTTCCGGTATATGAATTTTTGTTTGTGTATAAAGACCTAGTTATAAAAGGAAAATATTAGTGATGTTATTTTTTATCTTAATAAAAGTAATAACCTTAGATGTGGTCTTGCTAAATATTCAAGTCGTTCACTTGATTTAATACTTTCCAAACGAGTAGGTTTTTTCTTTGGTTTTGGTAATTTGGGTTGTTCTTGTTTTGATTGAACTTGATTTGGTTGTTGGTCTTGCTGCTCTCCTTGTTCTGGTGGAATTTGTTCTTGTTCTTCCTGCTTGTGATGTTGATGGCAACACTGTTCTTCCGATTTATATTTGGCTGTAACATATTTTGGTGTCGCTAACATCGCCACTCTCCAACTGCAAGTTTTCCTTTTTCGGAAGGACTTTTTTGAAGTTGTTGTTGAAGATATAACGCTTTTTGCAACATTAGGTTCGCTTGTGAATGAACTTATTTGGGATAGATTATCAGGCTTATCATTTGCCATTTTTGGAATTTAAATTTTTTTGTCGATGCACAATCAAATTTTGGGTAGACATGAATATTTATGAAGTATTTGGTAAATAACTGGGTTTCTATGACAACTTTACGTTATACTTTTTCGTTATGTTGTAAATCAACATATTCCTCACTGGCATTCCAAATTTCATTGCAAAATTTTAAATCCATTGCCTTTTTGGGTGGTGCAAATATTTCATTTTCAATGAAAAACTTTCCGGTAATGCATCGAAGCGTTTCGCTTAAAGCTACATGAGCTACAGTTTGAGCTGCTTGTAAAGGAGTCTAAAATATTATATTAATCCCAAGAATATTACAATCACACAACAAAACCTTTGCGATTTTATCCAACGAAAAATAAACAAACTTTTTTAAATTTTGATATCTCTCCACGCCCCTCATTCCTTGATAAATATTAGTAACTGCAATCCCAGGATGTACAGCGTTAGATGTAACCCCAGAGTGCTTCAATTTTTCGGCAAAACCTTTCGAAGCAATTATGTTACACAATTTTGAGTTGCTATACACCATAAAATCCATTATCGGATAATCCGAGATTGTGTTTAAGTTGCTTAATGTTAAATTATTAGCGTAAGCAAGAGTTGAGGTAACGAATATTATCCTACTTGGATTAGATCTTTTTAAAACATCTACAACAAAAAAGATGAAATCAAATAAATCACATAAATTAAAATAACCTGTTAATAAATGTGTTAATAAAAAAGGCCCAAAATGGTTAATTTGCATCTCTTCTTGAAGTAAATCTTTAGTATATCGATGTAATAAACCTCCAACACCTGCGTTATTTACTAAAATATCTATATGATCTTCTTCTTTATTAATGCAATGGCAAAATTGTCTTATCGATAACAATGATGATAAATCTAAGTGTTTGTAAGTTATGTTAGCAGCAAAAGAAGAACTTTGTAACACTAATTTGGCGTTTATATAGTTTTTATCTGCTATAATTACTTTAGCTCCACGAGAAGCTAAGATTTTTACAGTTTGAAGTCCAATTCCTAAAAAAAAACACTCTTACTCTCAATAATTCCAAAAAAAAAATAATAACCAGATGCTCCTCCTGTGACTATAGCGGTTTTATTTCCTAAAAAAGTTGTGCATTTACACGAACTATTCGTTATTAAAGATAAATATCTGAATGCAGTCATATTTAACAATTAATCAAAAATTAAATATGACAGTTTTAAATTTTGTTGTAGGAGTACCAACATAAATAAAATTGAAATTAGTAAAATGAATTAAATTAATAAATACTATTTAGTATTATAATTAAAAAGGAAAAAAAATTTAACTAGTAATCGCATATTCAAATTTTTTAATTTAATTTTAAATTCATTTTAAATAATTAATTCAATCTTTTTATTGACGTTTCTGAAAGAGATTCAAGTTGGTACTACTGAGATATCTCTCCCACTGTCATTAATGTCAAAATATGCCACAAATAACTTGAATGTTATGTTTCTTTAGCTAAATTAAACCCAAAATTAATGATGAGTGACACAAAAGGGCCGATTCTTTATGTCCTGGTGATTGGGTTTCATCATAAAAAAGGTTGTCAGGTACGTAAATCGTCTAATAATTATTAAATGAACCTTCATACATTAATCTTACAATGCAGGTTGAGTTTTCTTTCCCCCCTTTGGTTCCTGAATCTCCAAACGAGTGTCCAGCCGGTTGGAAATACTTACCAACCTTAGCTTTACCAGATGGATCTCATAATTTCGACGAGGATACCGTATTTTTTCATTTACCCAGTTTAACACAACCCAGAAAAACCGTGTATGGTATATCGTGTTATCGACAGATTCCCGTTGAGAAATTAAAAAATAAAACAGCTGATATTACGAGGGGAACTGTACAAAAATCGGTTTGTGTTTTAAGTACTGTGCCTTTATTCGGGTACATACAAGTTAAAATGACATTGATTACGCATGCTTATTTCGATGAAGGGGATTTTAGCAAAGTTTCGTTACTTGAGGATACTTATCATCATTTAAATTCCGTTTTATTACAAAATGATTTACATGCACAAACATATGTGGGTGAGTTTTTTTTTATATCTAGAAAGGAAATACAAGTTTTTTTTTAATGTAATTTAATATGTTTGTTTTATTCTTTTATGTGGCTGATTATTTGTAGCTATGAATCATAGTAACTGATAATTTGTTTATAAATACAATGATTAATTGAATTATTATATGTACAGGGTGTTTCACTTAAAACTCCTAGGCCAAGTATCTCTGGAATGGCTGAGGTATTTGAGGTTTGTAAAAAGTTGTTGTTAGAGTTTAGTTCTTAAGTATTATTATTTTGCATTGTACAAACATTTCAACACCCTTCAATACAAACTTTTTATTAGGTGCATGTGATAGAACATCAAAAACTGTGCAACTTTTCTTATTAACATTGATTTCAAAACTTAGTAGATTCTAAGAATTGACATAAAATGATTTGTAGAAGCCAACAAGATGGTGACAACATTATTTTCTAACATAAATAACATGTTAGGCTATCAAATAAATTTTTCGCCATAATAATAATTTTTACAACAAAAAAAAATTATAATAACTGTTCAAAATTACTTCCATTTTCATGCATGCACAATTCGAACCTAGAGTTAAGTCTATTTTTTGGAATACGCAGTAACTGGTAGTGTCTTACATACATTAATCTTACAATGCAGGTTGAGTTTTCTTTCCCCCCTTTGGTTCCTGAATCTCCAAACGAGTGTCCAGCCGGTTGGAAATACTTACCAACCTTAGCTTTACCAGATGGATCTCATAATTTCGACGAGGATACCGTATTTTTTCATTTACTTGAAATAATCGACAATTTTTTCGTTAATAGCAATTTTCGCCGATTAAGTTTTAAAAATTCGTATAAAATCCAGTTCTTGGAATATGGGTATGAAAATTTCAAAAAGTGTTAATAAAAGTATCTTCTTTCCAATGAACCAACCCATTTTGTAAAATAACTTTTAGTTTTTGAGAAAACGATATTTGAAGTTTTGATAAAATTTTCGATGTTGCAATTTTCATCGTTAATTTTCAAAATTCAAAGTTTAATAATTGAGAAGTTTAAAATATCAGAAACTGGATCTTTTATGATGTTTACGATTTCATTCAAAAGATGGAGTCTTGGTCTTGGCACGATTTTATTATGGTTGCTCTTCATCTGGATTTGTAGAAAAAAAAAAGAATGAGAGATGTTTTTTCAGAATTTTACGTTGATAATCTTCAGGTTGAGTTTGGGTAAATGGCAGAGTGCTTATAAGGTCTTTAATAATATTTGTGAAGAACTCGTTAAAGGAGTTAGTAGTTAATCTAGTTGAGGTTAACATTGAATGTCTTTTCCGTCCAGTTTCCGAGTTTATTATATTCCATGTTGTTTTCTAAGTAGTTATCTTTATGGAGATTAGTACATAAATATATTGTCGATACATTTCCACGAAGTTAGTGTTATCCTAGTTGCCTCAAAAATGGATGGTTCCAGTCCGTAACTTACAGACTTAAAGTTCCATTACTTAAAGTTCCATTGATTATCCCGCACCAAACATTGACCCCAAAAATCGTTTGATTCTTTGTTTGTACAGTCAAAGTTATTCAGAAAGTTGTCTCTTTCAGCTAAAACTGAAAATTCAGCCAAGAACTGAAGTCTACTGATATCGTCGCCTGGTCGTAAATGTTGCACAAAATTGCAACTTCTTACAAAACTAAAATATCTCAACCCATTCCAGAGATAACTAGCCTGGGAGTTTTAATTTAAGTGAAACACTCTGTATATATTTTTGTATTTTTTATTTTAGGGTTATCTTTAAGAGATTTCATAATGCACTGGAAACATAAAGCAGTATTACTATTTAAATTAATGCTTTTAGAGAAACGAGTAATTTTCCATAAAAGTCCCGTTCACGATTTATGTTCAACAGTTTTATGTTTGTTATCGTTATTTCCTGATATGATTGAAAAAGGGTTGGATAAATCGGCGTGTGTAAGGTATTATTATTAATTAAGCCTTAAACCCCATCTTCAATGTGTATCGTTTAGATTATCGAGACCTATGTCGCCAATGCCAAATTTTTCCGATGATGATATTACCCCAGAGGCAAGTCCTCGACATCAATCCAAAGACATCAAAATCGAATTTGTTGAAGCTCCATCGAAAGAATACGAAAAAAGCACACCTGAAAAAAATACGTCATCCACGGAATTAGGTGTAGAAATTACGGAAAGTACAGAAGAAGAAATCACTAAAGAGATATCAGAAAATGGTAATAATGAGAAATCGCAAAATTCTAAAGAACAAAATGAAACGGAATCATGTAATAATTGGATTCAATTGGCTCAATTAAAAAATGAAACGTGTGGTTTTCCGTTAAAAATTTTTCATCAGGGATATTTGTGTCTTCCGTATCTTTCGCTCCCCTACATGGATTTATTAAATGATGTGAATGTTCGCGGGTACGTTGTTGGGGCCACTAATGTTCTGTTTAAGCAAAAACGTCAACTTTTCGATATTTTGGTCGATATCGATACCGCAAAAATTGAATGCCAAGATTTAGAGTTAAGGAAACACCTACACCTAACGACCGAAGATTTACGATTCGCCGATTTTATCGTTAAACACGTCTCTGAAGAGAAACACGACGTATTTTTGGATGGAGTTGGTTGGGAAGGCGGCGACGAATGGATTCGGACTCAATTTAAAATTTATTTGTTGTGTTTATTAAGAACTTCACTGCTTCAAGATGATTGCAAAGAGTTTGAGCATTTCAATTCAAATTTTATATCGGCTTGGAAGGATACTTTTAATTATAAAATGTGGAGTGGGATTGATTATCCAACGATTTTAGAAGTTAATCCTGGTCATCCATTTTCAGGACAATTATCTGTTGCAGATATGAAACTAAGATTTTCACAGTAATATTTAATATATGTTTATATAATATATAAATATAGAGTTGTTTTAATTCTAGTACAATGCAAAATACCGAAGGTGGAAGAAAATTAAATCAAGCGATGGTCTCAACAGGTAGAGCAGTAGCAACAACTAGTAAAGCGGTTGGTGTGTAAAATATCATTTTATTAAAATTAACTTTAAAAATACTTATTTAACTTTTTTTCGAATTTTCTTTAAGGTGGTGCTATATCTCAAGCAAAAGGTGCGTTCTCAAACTGGTGGAGTAACTTATTAGTGAGCCCGGATCCCGCAAATGCGTCAACAATCGATGTACTTAATGATACAAATATTAAACCGGACGGTGTAGATAATAAAAATAATCAAATCGAAGTAACTAACGGGTTTTTAATAAACGAAATCGAAACGAATACGGAAAAAATCGTTGATCATAAACCCGGGGAAGTTCATTTAGTTTAAAAAGATTTCTTCTATTTTTTTCTTTTCAGTCTGTGTGTGTGGAAAAAGAAATAAAGATGAAATAAATAACGAAAAGGTTTTAAAAAAATCATCAAAATGTTAGTTAAAAGTATTATTGTACAAAAAAAAAATCAAGAACAATGTTACTATTAGAAAATCTTATTAACTTAAAAACACTCTTAATCTTATTATTCATTCCTTAGTTTTTTGTGATATTTAAATTTTACTTCTTGTTATTTTATTACAATTTTTTTTTTAACTTTATTCAAATCTAAGGGGAAGTGTAATGTTTAATAATTTAAGATCAATTCAATGTGTGTAAAAAAATTAATTTATTCATATAAAAATTAACTAATAAAATAATTAAGATTAGTTTGTTGTAAAAGTGCAGCAATTAAAATGTAGTTTGATTTGTAATTTTTGTAATCGTTAATTATAATAAGTAATAAATACTTGTATTTGAGGTTTTGTTTAATTTTTTTGCAATTTTTTTATTTCAAGACAATCCTTCACATTAATTAAATTAACAATAAGGTTCATTCTTATTTGTACATTCTCACACATATTAAGAATAAAGCTGGTAGAGGCAATGCAAAGATTTAATTGTTACTATTTATCCTTAGATTAATTGAATTGTTCTTGTCAACCCTTTAATGTTGAAAACGCTTGATCATATTTCACTGGGTCACAACCGAAATGTTATATTTATGAATTTAAAAGCTTCTTACAAATTCTTACAAACTCCTTGAAAAATGCAAAAATTAAATCCTTTTTTATTTGGTAACATAATCAAGTATAATGCGTTCATAAAACTCCTAATAAGTCGAAATGATATTAAAATGGTTAAACAAAAAAATATCACCAGGTGTGTCACAGTTATTTTATGGTTCATGTTGGTAACAATTTTCTTTTGAAGTTTAAAATTGTCAATAGTGAACAGTTTTTCTCCACTTTTACTCTTTATTAGATATGTAACGGGGTCCTCGCGAATTTTTAATGAGCCAGTATTAAATTGTATACTTAATCAACTCTTAAAAAAATAAACATTTTGTACAAAAAGCTCAAACTTTTAATAGTCGAAATCCAGTAAGGGAGCCTTGTGATGCAGGAATACCAGTTTCTCACCGTATAAGAATAGTAGTTTGCTTTCAAATATGTTTTTTGCCTCCGAAGACAACTTTTCTGAATATAATATATAGAACTTCCAGGTGCAGTCAAAAACTTCTTCGACATTGACGTCATAGAATATATTTGGCCATTATGCTTCCACCATCTTATTGAAAGCTCGTTTATTTGAATGAGTTGAGTTCATGATTTAAATAATTATCTATCTCTGACTTCAGATTAGTAGATTTATTGCAGTTTGTGCGATTTCTTTATAACAATCCCAAATTGTTTTGTTTTGACATCATCTTCATTTTCATTCAAAACTTCAACTAAGTAGTTCTTGGTGATATTTTATCATTTTTGCTGTGTCAGCCTTCTATTAAATTGTTTTATCCTGATTTCTTTTTATTCCTAGGTAAGTGTTACCCAGGTTTGAGGCATTCCGCAGCTTTTGAAACTGGAGAAGATTCGCAGGATGCCAATACAGAAAGAATTTTGATATTTAGAAGCAGGGATGATTGGGTGAAGGGAGGGCCTCAGCTAAAAAGAGAAGCCCTAGCCTGGTACACCGATGCTTCAAAGACAGTTAGATCCGGAGTAGGCATGGGCATCAATGGACCAAATAGCCACATTAAACTGCCCCTCAGCTCGGACATAATAAATTTTCCAAGCAGAAGTTCTTGCTATAAACTTCTGCACCGCTTAGAACCTACACAAGGGACAGAAAGGTGCATCCATAAACATTTTCACAGAACTTCCAGGTCACAGACAAGCGAAGAGTATGATAACTCCATCGCAAAACAAAACCAAAGAGATTTATGCCTCAGCAAAGAGGATCTAAGGACGCTCTCAGGTTACCTGACCGGCCATGCACCCCTAAAATACCACCTCTTCCATATTGGACAAGCTGAGGATCAAACTTGTCGACTATGCACCGACGAGTCAGAAACTGCTGAACATATATTGTGCAAATGGGTCGCCAGAGGCCGTCTAAGACACAACATTTTCGGTAAAACTCCCTTGACACCTACCGACATAAAGGTTCAAGACCTCAGGACAATACTAAGTTACAATAGATCTTATAGATCGCGGTAACGAGAGGGGCCGCTCCCCTCAGCCCGGCAGCAATAATAATAATAATGTGGAAAGAATAGAGGAGATTGGCCAGAATATGTATATATGGACGGCTGAAAGAAAAAAGACCACTCTTAAAGTAAAATTCTGAATTTTGTCTAAAAAAATGTGGTTAGAAAAAATTATTAATAATTTAAGGTTATATTTGCAAAAACACCACTTAGGAATGTGTTCAAAATTGTTGCTGGGGTCTCTACAGCAAATAATATTATTTGCATTTCATTAAAATATTGTTTCAATGTATTTAATATCAATGAAGTATCCCAAAATGAGATTATGTCCAGTTACAATTTTGAAGAACCACACCGTATAAAGTATTTATAAGAAAATCAATTTTTACGTTCAAATTTGCCATTCTAAACAATTACTATTTTGATTTCCAAATTGTTGTCTAAAATTTTCGTTCGATTTAAAATAAAGTTATTTTTTCTTATAAATAATAAAAAACATAACCTAGAAACAGTAATAAAGATAAAAAGTCACGTCATGGCCATTTAATTTGATTAGTAAAGAGAGAAATACGTCATAGAAAATCCGGTAGTGTTTATATTTACCGACTAAGTTTTTGAGGTTATGTTAAGCATCGTAGGGCGGTAACATAACCACAAAACGTCGCGCGCCAGGTCACTCGATACTTGAATGAGCGGCGTCGAGCCGCTTCGTTGAAAACAAAAGACAAACCGATGCGAGGAGGAGACGACGAGATTTGCCGGTATAATAGTTTGTTTATTTTCCCACCGCGCGGCCGTCGTTTGCCGATTTCCCGACAGGCAACTGTCACCTACGGCCCGCTGTGTTACTCGAGTGCGTAAGGCTTTGCTTACATCTTCTCTCGTTTCGTCCCCCCAGCCTACTATGCAAAACATTACCGTATAGAAAAGTGGATCAATCTCTCGTGGTACGAAGTGTTCGTGTTAAATATTTTTCATTTTTTCGCGACTAATACGCGAGTGAAAACAGAACCGTTTCGATGAAAATTAAACGAAATTAGCCGACGGTTTCGGTGGGTAAAGGGTCGCGTGCGATAACGAGTGTTTTGTTGATCAACAAACTGAGTAAAATGACCATGAAACGAAACAATATGCGGTCGCCATCTTAAACCCGGAGTAGTAGTGCTTTTTTTTTAAACGACGACGATCGCCCCGTTGTTTCGAACAACGTTGATGTGTCGATAATTTAGTTTCGATGTTTTTTTGTTTTTTTCATTTCTTCTTTAACCTAACCTGAAGTATCTACGAGATTCCTCGTGGAGAATCCGGAGGAAAAAGTGGTGAGTTTAAGTTAAGATATTCAAAGGGTTCAATTAAATCGCTAAAATTAATTTTAACCTAAAAAAAAAAGGAGAAGGTAAATTGATTTAATCGCGAAAATCTAACATCCTAGTCAAGTCAGCCATGATAGATACGTTTTAATACGTGTATAAGTGACGGAAAACAAATCCGAACGGGTGATTTACTTTTGTTTTAAATAGCTTACTAAGATTATTATATATAGATTTTTTTTTATTGTTAAGTAGGCCATATTTAATTTTAAAACCAGGTGTGTATCGTAGTTGGAGAACCCACATGGCCCCCCTTTTTCATTAAGTCACTAATACGGTTTCTATTTATTTAGTTTTCTAAGATTCGCGTCGGCCATTTGTTTTAAAATTATACATAAAAGTTTCTAATTAAAATATGTAATAATCAAAACATTTTTCTTGGTAGTGTGCCTTGAAAACGAAAGAATTTTAGATGTAGTTATCTCCTTGTCCGCAGGTTTGCATGGAGCGCCACAGGGCGGAAAGGGATGGCTGAGAACAGATTATTTTCCGGAGGTGGTAAGTACCTCTTAACCTCAAAGAAAATTTTTTTTCTTCCTAAGAATGATTTTTTTTTGTTGCCAACTTAAAAACGCCGTATGTTTTTAAATCCGTAGGTATACTTTTCTCGTTATCTGATTCGCGGAGCCCGAAAACTATTAATAGCTTTCGTAATGTGTACCGAGTTCGATTTTTCCTCGGTCGAACGACGATCACGTGATCGCCGACTTGATATTAACGATTTGAAAATTGTTTCGCGGTTAACTTAGATTACTCGAATGCAACAAATGAACGTCTTCAACCAGCGACATATTGGTTTTCTCCTTGCTAAACTTGTTGCCATGTTTTAAGTGTTGTTGTTGTCTTTTATCATTGTAGGTTGCGCCTCCTATCGCGTTACAATCGTAACTCCTCCCTAAAACCATAGCCAACCCACATTATTTAAAATTATAATTATTTCAATATATATTCAATATATATATTAGCTTATAATATATATATTAGCTAGCTTGATTTTAAATGTTTAAAAATTGAGGTTTGATTTTTTAACGTTATGTGACGTCTCAACTTAACCTTGAAATTATTTAAGTTAATACTTTTATTTAGGCGGATTAAACTGGATACATTTTTGTGTAATTTTTCCATAAAACAGCGCCATCTGAGAAGATATTTTAAAAGTTACTTAACCTAAACTTAATTCCTCGATTTTACTACAAGATAAACTATAATCAAGAGGTTACCCTTAACTACATATACAGTGAAATTCCCCTAACTCGAATCACTAAGGGAGCGGAAGAAAACTTCGAGTTAGAGAAAATACATTTGAAGCCTAGTCAAACGCTTGAGCTTACGAAAATTATTCGACTTAGAGGATAATTCGAGATATAGAAGTTAGAGTTAGGGGAATTTCACCTTACTTAAACCCTATCATATTTATGATGGAAGTATTTTTATGTATCATTTAGTATCAAGAAAGAGAAGAACGGGATTCTAATCGAGAAAGTAGAAGTTTCTTTTTTTACTTCCTTAAAAAAACTTTATTATCTTGAAATTTTTTCCTTGATTCCGATTGAGATGAATTAAATGTTTTAAAATTGTATTAAGCTGGTCGCTGTACCACAGAGGGCGTTAAGAGTCGTCCCGGTCCGGAAACAATTGATTAAGAGAGCACAACGCAGGCGGCCGAGCTGTGGACGCCCGATCGGAAATCGGCGGTGTCGAGATAAAGATGGCGGACTAAATATTTTAACCTTACAAATTTTAGACTTAGTTTTATAACGTTTCGTAAAAGAAAAGTTAAATCATCAATGATGGAGAAACGTAACCACATTATTTTGTGTAATCAAAAGATAAGATAAAGGTTCCACTTAAATACTTTTTATAAATATGGAATTAATTTTTTTTGCTATAAATAGACGTAATATTTGTTAATCTAGTTTGAGTAATTAAAAAAAAAATGTTTTTGGTTTATTTTTTTGAGAAATCGTTTTATTTTGGAGTGTTATTATTATTATGGTGTAATGTGGCAAGGTTAAACCGGTGTAGATTTGGCCTCAACGGGGCGAGACTTTGTCGAGTTGAGCGAGGAGCATCGATCGCGGCGCGCCGGGGTCGCGGCTGTGGTGCAGTGGGGCCACCAGTCGTGGCGGCCGAAAAACACTTGTTGCTCCGACATCGGCGCGATCCAGGCGGCTGTGCGGTACTCAACTGAAGCGTCAGTTCTCGTCGACTGTTTCGCTCTCCCCACCCTCCTTCTACTCTCCCTGTGTGCCTACTACGCGCGGCACGATCGCTTTCCTCTCTCGTACATTCGTCGTAACACAGAACCGTAATCAAAGTTTTTTTTATTATTTTTAATATAAATTGGGTTTTCTCGATTAATGCTATAGTTTACTACAAACTTTATTGCATTATTGTATTTAACACTGTAATAGTCGCAAAAATATTCATACTCAAAGTAATCTTTTAGCTAACAAGCCATCTTTTAATTCTTTAAGACACATTCTGCTATCTACGCCTAAACCCAACATTTTAGCATCAACATGTAAATCTTTTACCGCGATGTCTTACAAAACGTTAACAAGTATATATTTTCAAGATACACCATTTCTTGGGCATTTCATGTACACAAAATATTGAAAATTTTAACCCCGTAGTTCTTTTCTATTTCAAGTCGTAAAGATATCTTATCAAAATTTTCATTTTGAACTCTGGCATGGTTTTTATATCTTTAGAAAGATCAAGTGCATTTGTCGTCTAAAACTGCTTTAATATTAAAATCACAATCTTTGCCTGCATCTTCATTCGCTTTTCTTTCCATACTTTGAGTTTTTTTATAAAACTGATTCTGGCATTTTGCATCAGAAATGCGAATAAAAAATAAAATCAAAATAACTCGAAAAAGAAAAACGCTGTACCAATAACTTTTATGAAAGTTATATATAAAATAACGAAGTTGTGATCTACTTCCGGTAAATCGAAAGTGGTGGCCATCTTGAAAGTATTTTAGATCGAAAGCTGAGGATGATTAAATCCTACTACCAAAATTTTAAAACTGTGCGACCAATTTTGTGAGAACCATAAATGACACTGACGTCGATTCGTTTGATGTTAGCGGTACCTCGTTTTGTGACCTTGATTTAAAATCCGCCATCTTATCGCAAGTTACCAAAGGCATAGAATAACCAGAAGTAATACTGGCGGTATCCTAATATTTGCCACCAATAGCAGCAAAACCTTGCTAATTCGCTATAATATGGTGTCAGATTTGTCACTTCTGGTTATTCTGTGATATAAAGTTGCACTAAAATCTTCTACTTCCCTTAACAGAAATCTACACTTTGAAGAGTGCTATAGGTGTAAGACTATATCCACAACAGTACAAAGAAATGCAACGAACACATGAGTGCCATACTAGAAATAAAAGTCAGCCAAGTTTACATACTGATGACAAGATTTATCTGAATTCTAAAACATATTACAATAAGGCTTGTACTCTTTGGATATGGTTGGGATACAAAGGTTACTTTATCAAAATTCTCCAAACCGTCGAGTGAGATAGGTTTAAGTTGTGAGCAATTTTTCTGGTACTTGTGGTCGGATTTTCATCAATTTCGTTGAGGACAGCCTCTTCTACTTGGAGATTTGCAACTTCCATAGGCCGCTCATTATCAGCAGTATTCCTTTTAAAACTTCCAGTTTCCCATAGTCGTTGGTGAATGCGTAAAAACAAGTTATGGCGTGGTACTAGCTGATCAGGATGTCTTTCTTGATACAATCGCCTTGCTTCTGCCGAATTACCGCCCGCCATTCCGTAAAGGTAATGAATTTCGCACATTTCAGCGTTTGTGTAATTCATTTTTAATTTTGTAATACAAGTTTACTTTTTGCAGCCACAAACTAATTGTTATGTTGACAGGAAGTAGCTTTTGTTATAAAATTTAAAGCCTACTTGTTAAAAATAAATTGTACAATTTTTTACACAAACGCTGAAATGTGCGAAATGCGTTACCTTTACGGTTTGGAGAATTTTTTTTAATTTTGCAATTATGTAGTTAACGCTTGCTTTTGTTACTTGTTCTAACGTTTACATAAATTTTGTTTAATTGTAAAATAAAATTTTTATTTAAAAGAATTGACCATGTTTTTCAACACAAAAGTTGATTTTTCTAGAAAATGGTCAACTGTAGCTCATGACCTACAGTACCTTTTTTGTGTAGAAAATATTGGCGGTTCAAATGGGCGTTTCAAAACCGTCCTTCTTCCAGTGGCGTAGAAGTTGGGGTTCAAAATCTTCACCAATTATAATATATATTATATAAGATATTCGCAAAAAAATTATTTTTTTTTATTAAATTTCAACACCCTGTATCTCGAAAATGGTGCATTTTAGAGGGTAAGTTGATAGAAACTTTTTTTCAAATTTTTGGACAAGCTATCACATCCTGAAGTCCTGCGCATATATTATGAAACACTTTGTATAATCATCTTCCTAATGAAATAAAATCAATGTTAACTCGTCTACTAAAGATAAAGTTCAAAACGTACTTGAGTACTTGGGAAGGAAAGCATGACATTCAAAACTGAAAATTTTAGAATTTTATTTTAAAATTACCATTAATGCTAAAATTGGTCAAAGGTAGAAAATGCCTCGGTCAATCAATATTTTTAGCGAAAGGTTAAAAAATGGGGTTATTATCAAGAACAAGTTGGCTGTTTTGGTAGTCGAATATGTTAAAGTGCAATAACTACCCAACTATAAAGATTTTATACTAAGTGGTTGTTAATTTATAATTATATTTTTTTAATTAATTATAATTTCCTTTTAAAAAATATTAATGAGTTGATTAAAAATTTTCGAATACGGTACTGTATTCGACCGACCGCGACTCTGGGGAATCGCGGGCTTTATAGAGGCGGCGGTGACTGTGTCGGAATTCCACGGATGCCTCGATGCAGCGAGCCGGTGCGCGCGCACCGATCAGCGGTGCTGTGCTAATCGGCCAGCGGTCGACGCCTACTACGAGGAAGCGACGTCGTCGTCGTCGTCTGGCGTACGCGATCCCAACACAGGCAGCATGCTGTTGCGGACTCTCCTCCGTGTTTTTTGAATGACGCGCGCCGCGCTTCACGAACAAAAGCGAAACGACTCTCGCGCTCGCAGCGCTAATTTTAAAACCGGACAACTATGATCGTAAAATTCAAATATATAATCCGCGCCATTATTTTGTTTTATAATCTACATTCATTTATTTTTTTTTTGCTAATAAAAAAAATTGTTTTTTTTTTAAATAAATTTAATGATTATTTATTCGATGACGTAAAATCTTGTTTCCCAGGGTAACTAGACGTGCATTGCCTAAAGAAAATTTGCATAATCAATATTAACCTGAAAAGGGGGGAGGCGGGATAGCAATCGACAGGCGGCGTCGTAGCCGTCCCTTTCTAACGACGCAAAACTGCCGGTTTGCCAGATCGCTGGGATTTTGGTTTCGTTAGGTTGGGCAACCCTGCGGGCCGATTTCAAACCGTGTGGCCCCACGGCGCAAAAGGTTAAAGAACTCCTTGCCTCCTACGATATCATCCGAACGTTGCCCAACAAGTAACAAAACGGAAATAAACGCAATCTTGATGCGAAATTTTCCGATCGACAACAAATTTATTTTATTTCTTCTCACAAAAGTATATTTAAAAAAAGTGTGTACGACAGACTTTAAAATTAAAATGGTCGATTTGGAAGCTGCTTCCACATTCCGACGCCGAAAATAGAGCGTGGCGACTATCTATTTATACGAGGGATCTGTTTTAACTACCAGGATGTTTAAATGTGACGTGAAACAACTAATCGTTTAATTTATTTCAAAATGATTTTTTTGAGATGGTTATTTTCTTGGTTGGGTGGAAAAATTAAAGTAAAAGAAACTTTACCCAACCCAACCTTATAAAAGGATGATTATTTTATGAAATCTAAGAAACGAGGACAATACTTTAAAATCCAAAATAAATTATTAATTAAACACAGCTGTAAAACACTAACCTCGAATTATCCTCGTAATTGTCTTTGATTGCAATAAGTCTATTTATACACAATAAGTGACCTTTGCATGATCTAATCGGCTTTTGCTGCTGCGAATCGCACATAATGATGACACATTTTGCGGGAGAATTCAATTTTGAGATGACGTTTTCTTTTCGAATAATAGTTTAAACATATACAAAGTCGTTTCGTTTTAAAAATATTTACCGTGTGCGCGCAAAGTACTATTTAAAATTAAAGTTTGCTTTACGATTAAAATTTTAAACAACGCAGATACGGACGTTCAATAAAAATAACCAAGTTTTTTTTAATGCAATTTAAATTGGTGCAGACATATTCTATAGATATAGATATAGCGAGGGCAAATTCAGGTCCTCCGTTCGTCCAACCTGAAAACATCGGGTCCGTTTCGGTCGAAGGTCCCACAGGATTGGCGCATACATACATAAGATACGCGACGGCAACTCTGTGTTGGAGATAAGGACGAATTCATCTCAAACATTGATTTTCTCGAAGAAAGAGGATAACAAAACACCCAACCTCCCCATTCTCCCCCGCAGACCCTCCTCCCTAGACGAACCACCGGGACCTCGCCGCTTTCAACGACCTCCAAACCTGGCAACATTCGCACCTTTTCTAGAACGAATTATTATTGACCTGAAAACAAAAATTTTCTTCTAAATTATTTATTAATGTTTTTACAAAGTAATTACGATTAAAATTATTAAACAAACTATGTAAAAAACCATCGACATATACACCATAAATTCAGCATTAATTTTAGCTCTTAGTTTATATAAAATGGTATTTCTTAAAGGAACCTTAAATTTTTCTTGTAACGATGTTAAACTAGATTTTTCATCTTCCGTTTTTTCGTCATCTTGAATATGATTCATTTCAATTTTCTCATTTAATTCTTCTTCGTTTGAAATATTAGATTTGTCTGGTTCCATACTAAAAGGTGATAAAAAAATGATAAATATCTTCACTAAGAATTTTTTGCGTTGTCATTTTGATGGTTGACGTTTTCGATGTCGAGAGGTGAGTTGCGCGCGAGAGGGGGGTGCAAAATCCATTAGCCAGTGGCGGATCGGGTCAATAAGGGGATGCTGCGGGCAGCAGCAGCTCGAGGTCGCCCTTGCCGGCAACCAACGTCCCCCAAAATCATTCTACCACATCCACCAGAGGGTAGGGGGGACCACTGTACGAGATTTGACGAATCCCCTATCGCGTATGCACGTGCAACACCGCCAAATCGATTAAACTTGACGGTTCAGATTAGGTCACACTGTGGAAAACATTGCTGTTTTCTCATTAACATCTATATTTTACGAAAAAAAGTTTAACTTTTAAATGACATTGAAACGACTAAAAAGAGGTTATGTTATTTTTCGTTTTAAATAATGTTTATTTATTTATTTTTTAAATACATTAAATTTACTCTTGACGTGTTAATTTTTTAAATAAATTTAAATAAACATTATTTGTTCTATTCGCAATGTTAACGTTTTGACATTTTCAAATCAATGATGTGTCGTAGAAAAGTGTTGCCAACTTATTTACACACATCATAAATTACTAAATAAGCAATACAATATAAAAATATCAACGGAGAAAACAAAATGTGTGATAATATCCAAAAAACCAAAACGCTGCAAACTACAAGTTGAAGACTCTATAATAGAGCAAGTTATGCATGTTAAATATCTAGGTGTAAAAATTACAAGTTATCGAAATCTATGCAAGAAAGCACAAGTTACAAGAGCCATACAAGTAGCAAGCTGTCTAAAGGACACTATATGGAAAAATGAAAATATTTAAAGCCATAGTACGATCCATACTAACATATGGTACCGAGCCGACAGCAGAAACAATATGTTGAATGTGACCCTGCGAGATAGGCAGACCAACACAGCTATCAGAGAAAGATGTCACATACAGGATGTAGTAAAATAGACAAAAGTAGGAAAGAAAAGATGGAAGGAGCATGTGGCAGAAATGGATGAGAGGAGATTGGCCAAAATATGTACGTATGGACGACCGAAAGGAAAAAGACCACAAGGACGACCGCCCAAAAGATGAGCACAGAGCTGGTTCTCTTTGTCTGCGTAGTAAAGTGATAAATATACACAAATATAAGGCTTGACAAATTTTAAATTTTATGGTTACTTTTTTACCTGTTGATAAAAATTGATTAATTCATCGCCTTAAAAGTTGATTGGAATGAGATGTTGACTTAAAAGTGGTACATTTCCTCACCATAACACAACATGTCCCAAAAATATTCCAACCTCGCCCCAAAGAACCTGCTGGTAATAATCTAAAACTTTGTTTTTAGCTTTTGAACTAATACAAATTGCATAGAAAACATCATTTTTATTTACATCTTTAGTTAATTATAGGTTCAGTTAATTTAATTTTAAAGCTATTTTTAAGTTTCAAAAAGTTGTAAACAGATTCATTAAGTTTTATACTTGTTAAAATAATAGGTTATGCTGTTATTATGTAGATTCAGTGCTTAGACTTCCACGCATATACAAAGTATATAAAAAGAATTGAGTCATTATGTGTATACAAATATGTTTTTGTATGTATAGTGACCAAATTAGGTCAAACCTAAATTAATGGCAAATTTGTCATCTTTTGATCACATCGACTTCTTTTCAAACAAATTTACACTGTAAATAGATAAAAAATGTTGTTATAGGGAAACATTATTATTATGAAAAACATTAAGATTAAAAAATGACTTCGTCGTCATTGTTACCTATTCTATCGATATTCCCAACCGATTAGAAACACTGTCAAGTTCGTCGGAACAGAATTTCCGAACATTTTCCTGATACGATAGAGACATCGTTTATATCTGTTGTATGGAATTACTTGAAATGTTTGTTGTAAGTGGAGTAATAAAGCTGTTCGAGTGATGGTGCCAACATTATAGTCTGGGAGTGACTATATCTATCTGTCGTTAACGCACTCACATACTTTGCATTAAAAACATTCTGCCAAATAAGCAAATTGCCGTGTACTGGGGGAGTGATCATTTTGAGACACTGTTGCAGTTCTGCAAAAGTCATCGCATATAAGTTGAAGAATGCGACGTGACTAACTTAAGCCGGGTTTTCTTTATATTGGGTTGGGTTGGGTAGAGTAAATGGTAGAGTAGAGCACTTGGTTGTAGTAGAGTAGAGTGATGTGGTGAAGTTACACTTACTATGTATCATTGAAGTATTTAGCGTGTTTGTGTAAATATAAAGTGGTCTGAGGCAGAAACTATTAAATTCGTAGAATTGTAAGGTGAATATGAATGCCTTTTAGAATATAACAATAGTGGATTATAAAAATAAAAGCAAACGAACATCTGCATACGCAGCAATAATAGCTGAAATGGATGGATGGATTACTTTGGAGTTGCTGAATTAAAACAAAAAAATAAAAAACCTTAGATGCACATATAACCAAGAACGTTTAAAAATCTAGAAATCAAATAAATCTGGAGCTGGCGTTAATGATCATACACTGAAATGGTTTTATATCATGTACTCTTCTACATCTTCTAAATCAAGTTCCGTTAAGAGAACCCAAGAATCCTACGCCTGTTTCTTATACTGCGCCATTTCTTCTTGGTTCTATTTTGTTCTTACTTATTAGCTACAGTTACTTCTTCAAGTAAAAGATCAGTCGCACATACCAATGCTTTTCGTACAGCTTTTCTTAAGTTTAAACGACGACAACCAGGATTCATTCTCGACATTTCAAGTTTATCACTGTTTGCTATTACCTTCTGTACTTTAATACTATTTTCAATTTAAGTGAAAACAGGTATTCTACCAAACTAAGTAGAGTACCACTAATTCTACTAATAAAACCCCGGCATTACTCCTCGTTAACACGTTAAGTGTTAGATCATTTTTAACGTATTTTTACATTTGGAACCATTACGTTACCATGCTTTTTAGATTTAAGTTCAAGTCTATTCCATGTTCATAGATATACTCGGGATGTATAAATCAAGGATGGTAGTTCTATTTTTAATTGTTATTCAGCGTTAGATTGTTGTATATTTTTAGTGAACGAAGGGTTGAACTAACAGTAGACCTAGAATTAGAAACATTCGGGTTAGCCGTATGTCTCTCAAAACGGCTAAAACCGAATGTTTCTAGTTCTAGTGTTAGTTTTTGTGTTTTGCCTTCTATTAGCAGTATCAAGTTTTTGTCAACAGTATTTAGCCTTGTATTAGAAGTATATGATTTTTATATATATTGTTGTTTTCTTTTCTTTCCATTGTTGAAAATTAAAAATAAAAATGGTTTTCGCACTAAACAATGGATCTTTATTTTTACTGATCAGCTTTTACCGGTTTTGCCTATTTATTTCGGCATCTTCAGAAAGCTTTCTATATGTATACAAAATAAAAGTAATTACAATTATTCTTTATCTAGTCGAAAATAGTTGTTGAAAAATAAAACTTAAGTCTGGATCGAACACTTAATGAAATTTTGACAAATTATATAATTTTTGCCAACAATATCCAGCCTTCTGCAAGCAATTGATTGTATGATACTAATGATTGTATGCAAGCAAAATCTAATCTTATCAGCAGTATCTGCCCTTCTGCGAACAGTATCTACTCTTTTGCCACCAGCCTATTGGCCATGTATAATCTTCTATTAAGAGTATGGCAGCTGTATCTAGATTTCTGTTGGTAATATTTAGTCTATTATTAAGAGTATCTAAGCTTCAAGCTGCAGTCTCTAGTCTAAAATGTTTTCTGACAGCAGTATCTAGGCACTAGTGTTAGTTCTAGTTTTAATTGTTATTAAGCGTTAGATTATTGTATATTTTTATGTTTTTGAATACTTTGAAAATTTGATTTTTTTGTCTGTTCAGAATGTTTGGAGAAATATATGGGGTGACGAAAAATTTGTATGTGTGAGTGAGAGTGGCGTACGTTTTACCGTGTGTCGTACCCTTAGGCAACAGCAGGACGACGGGAACATCGAGATGGCGCACTCGACGGTGTCGTTTCAGTTAGTCCCGCGGTGGCACACGCGGCCGGCCGACACCAGAAGAGCGGATCGAGCGCCTCAAACACCGCTGCCGCCACTGCTCTCCCGCGATCGCATTATATCGACCGCTCGGCGAGTGCAGTGTTACAAATTTTCAAACACAAAAACGAAATTATCTAAAAACATAACTGAAAATTAGCAAGAAGTAGTATACTGTGAGAATTTGATGGCTGTGTTAAGAAATCGTCGTCGGGATGGTAGGTTTTAACAGCTGATTTTTGGAACGGCTTCAACGGGGCAGGTTGCTTGAGGATGAGAAAAAGAGAAAGAAAGAGTGAGAGAGAGAAAGAGAGGGTACCTAGAGTACAGCGCCTGCTGTGACGGAGCGAACTCAAACCCGAAGGCTATTGACCTTGGAATCTCGCATTGGTTCTTCGTCTCTTTTCAGAAACTTAACTCCTTAACTATTTCTTTTCTATACATTTTTACAAACACAACATGTACATTATTTCATTTCGTTTAACAATTTCGATTAACTCTTATTTTGAGTGGTTTTAAATTGATTAAATTCATTTAAATTGAATTCGGGGTATTGGGCGATTTCCGTTGTCCTCGGCGGGGGTTGGGGTTGGTTTCAGTCTCTAAGTTTGGATAAGTTTAGGGCGTGGCAGCATCGATTTGTAAATGCGAAAAAAGCGGTCCGCGCGCGCTGTGGGGCCGTTTTCGCCCGGAATGTACTCGGTGTAGAGAGAAAGATTCGGTCGATAAGCGATTCATCGTGCATTCTGCACCGCAAACTTGAACATCGTCTTTTGAATATATCCTCAACCACCGTTTAGGCATTCAATTCAACATTCCTTATTTCTTATAAAACTTTGTTCAATTAACATTTTTAAAGTTATCAACATTATCATAAAATACAGAATTTTATAAAGACAGTTTCGATTACATATATTTAAGTTGGTAGTATTGGCATAAACTTAAAACAAAAACAATTTCGTTTAAAATAATTTATAATGAAGTGTTTTGAAATATAACATTACGAATATTATCATTTCTTTAGAAATTTCATTTTTATGTTGATTATGAAACTAAATGACATGATGAAATGTCAAATTTGGAAACGTCAATTTTTAAATATATTTTATCATTATAGTACATGGGTTTATTAGAGTAAGATTTTATATCATAGCATCATAACAAAGTTTTAAAGAGAAATAATTTCGGATGGATTCAATTTTAATATAAATTTTTATAATTTTAATCTTTCAAATTAAATGACAAATTGAAACGTCAAATGAAACGTCAACTTTTAAATGTTATTTTGAAAACTATTTCATCATTAGACAATGTTTTATTAGGGTAAGATATCTTGTTATTAACAAAATTTAAACCGAAATAATTCTACTTTCGGGCAGATTGAATTCTGAAACAAATTTTTGACTAGTTATATGACAAGTTGAAACGTCAAATGAAACGTCATTTTGCAAAATTTTAAACTTTGCATCCAGCGTCGTTCCAGTTTCATTACTAAAAGTATTTTCAATTACTTTTCTTTCTTTTTTTTGAAATCCCCATTTCCATACATAAATATGGTAACCAAAGCGCCCTCCAGTTCCCCTTTTACTGTTCTCGCAACTCGTGGACGGCGCGGTTGCCGCGCTTGTACCGAGCGAGCTCCGGCTGCTGCTGCTGCTACCCTAAAGGTGCTATTGATTTTTATCTAGCAAATACCTTTCCGTGAAAATGGAACCACACCTAGATTTGGGAAACCCTTTTGAACGTTATATCCCAGTCTCATACCCTCAAAAGAATCAAAGCTAGAATAGTCAAAATCCTTAATCTTGCTTAAAACTGCTTTTGAGCGAACCCAAACACAATTTTATCAAGTTTACCAAAAACAACCTTTGTAGTGATGTTGTTTTGTTCTTATCTTAAAGGATTTTTAATTTACTCTTCATAAACGCAGTAATTTTTTGGTTTAATCGGATATAATAATATCACAACGTATTTTAAACCGTGTTTCGATTTTGTTCTGGCAACACGGTTAACTCAAGGGATCACGTGATATCCAGAAGCGAGTGAACACAAGCCCTATTTGAAATGTCCCGCGATTGGTTGGATCGTTAAAACGCAAAGCGCCCGAGAGGCGACTTTGGCGTGTTGCTGCTGCGAGGAGGACGTACAGTTCCGTCCAAAAGTGAGGGCGACACCGCGGATTACTTGCCCACCTTACGATGGCGAACGGGGTCCGATCATTTCCCCTCTTTCTCTTTTCCACACTCACATACACACACACTAATACAACAACACATTCGTGTGTCGACGTTTTCCGTTTTATTGTACGCGCTAAACTGAAAATGTTGACCTCAACGGCGATAGCCGAGGTTATTACATATTCTACAATCCCAGTTCGATGAAAACCTAAAATACAGAGATATCAAAAAGTATGGATCCCAAGACGATTTTGGTTTTTTTCTGGGATATCTTAATCCGATATTTATTTATTTTCGTATTTTGAATCTAACATAAGTGAGTGAAGGAAGATGTAATCGACCGGCAGATTCTCAACAATGGCTTGCTTCTATTTTAAGATATCCGGTTATGCTTGTGATGATGACGATTCAAACGAATTGATGAAATATTTGAATTAGTTTTAACACCAATTTAAACGTAAATATATAAAAGTATTAGAAATCGTTTCGTAACTAAAATTTTGTGTTACACCGATTTCTCATGGTTGTAGCAACAAAAGTTTATCAGGGCGCGTCATCGATGACCTTGAGTTAAAAATACATTTTTCAAGAACCACTTTAGATAAAATGTTAATCGAAGTTTCCTACATATAAAACTTTTTCGTGAAATTCAATTTGAAAGAAACAACATATCATAGTCTAAAAACGGTGTAACAAAAATAGAACACGTTAAATAAATTTACAAGAGAAAATCGTTTATTGTTTAAAATTAAACTTGGCCGGTTTTGAAAACAATTTCTAGACACCGCTCAGTTATTTGGTGGGTGTAGAGGGTGTGACAACAAGAAAAGAACTCGACCTACGTAAATAACATCATCTTTAAAATCAAAAATCCTTTAAAGTAAGAATTTTTTGCAAAATTTGATTCTTGCCTTTGATTGACCTAGTGTGCACGAAATCTTGATATCGATTTGGTAGGTCCAAATTTTGGTTACCACTGTGAATGGATCGGTGTTGTTGCTGCGGTTCTAAACGTTGGGTTTGCAACGAAGTCAGGGCCTTCGATGCCCACTTCTGTGTATGGCCCCCGCAACCTGTTTATGTTCATGCGTTTTGTCGCCTCTCTTGGGTTCCAGGACGATCTGACACCGCCGCAATGAGGCGGGCATGCGTCGTCCTAAGTTCATCTTTTCCACGATTTTATTGATTTCATTCGATTTGATTTCGAATAAAAATTTATTTAAAACCAAAACAATTTAGAGAATTTTTTTAAAAAACAATTTGGAATTAATTAAAGAATAGTTGGTTTATTAGAGGCCTTTAATTACGATAAAATAATTAATTTATAATATCGTTGCCTAGTAGATAAAGTTAAAATTATTCGGGGTTATTTCCAGGCGCTGTCGTGAAGATGGAGCAATTCCAGGCCGCCCTTGACCCAAGAAAGCAGGAGCTCCTCGAAGCGCGTTTTTTAGGTGCTAGGGTGAGTTTTAAATTCAAAAAGTCACAAATAATTCTAAAATCATTTTATTATATAAGTATTACATAGGCCTCTAGTTAACTAACTATTTAGACCTCTCTGTACATTTTCACAAATTAGAATAACGTTAATTATTGACAAATAGAAAAATCAATAGTCCTAGAATATACGGGGTGGAGTCGTTAAAATTTTATATATAAAAAGATAAATAATTTTCACCTATTTAATGATAATATCTCAATGATCGCTTCTGATTCATGACGAGTTATCTGACATTCATTAGAAAGGTACGAAAAGTTTGTTTTGATTCACCTTTATGATTGTATTGTTGTTATCAAGTGCCACACGCGTTCTTTGTTACCGAGTGATTTTCCTTTATAATACCTTAATAGAGAACTTCATTACCTGAAGGATGTCGATCGTTGCAACTCTTTCAACATCATTGCAGGCACATAAGGCCTATGAATGAAGAGATTGAGAGAATAAACAACTTCTGCCATTTCGTCGCTGATTCGGAATGAAATACATGGCCCACAAGAACCACAACTGACATAATGTACACTCAGCTTATTTTAGTGCTTAATGAAAACGTATTGTTCGAACAGATTATTGTTAAAAATTTTAAATTCCTATCAACAACAACGTATATTTATCCCAACATCTTTTCCGGTGAAGTTTGAGAAGTAGGAACGTAGAAGGAAGTCCTTTCATTCTCTTGCAAGCAATTTTGAAACGCATTTGCTGTCAGAATCAATCTATCAGTTACATAAATTGTTGAGAAGGAAGTGGGGTTGGGTTGTGTTGTGGACATGACAATAGTTGAAGACGCATTATGCAATAGGCAACTTGACTATTTTGACAAGGATCTTTTGGTTTGAGTTGAGTTGTGTTGAGATGGTGTTGGATTGTATTGTGGACATGACAATAGTTGAAGAGTCATTATGCTATAGGCAACTTGATTATTTTGACAAAGATTTTTTGCTTTGGGTTTGGATGGTGTTGGGTTGTGGAAATGACAACAGTTAAAGAAGCATTATCCAATAGTCAAGTTGATTATTGTGACAAGGATTTTTTTGTTTGGGTAGGGTTTGGTTAGGTTGTGTTGTCGAAATGGCAATACTTGAAGAAGCATTATGCAATAGGCAACTTGATTATTTTGATTTTGGTTGGGTTGGAATGGTGTTGGGTTGGGTTGTGGAAATGACAATAGTTGAAGCATTATCCAATAATCAACTTGATTATTTTGACAAGGATTTTTTGAATCTGTATTACAAACCATTAAATACGAAAAATACATTGAAAGGATTCATCAAATATTTATGTGTGACAACTATTACGATATCAGAAGCCGATAAAAGGTGTTAATGCAGGTATCTCTCAACATCGTCCTGGATATCATTGAAAATCATTTATATTACCCCACAATATAGTTTCAAGTATTTATTTAAAGTTCCATTAGGAGCTACTTCACAACTATACTATACATATGTAACTTAATAAAAGGTATTGCGTCACGACGGTATGTACAAAAACAAAATTTATCCTATTTGGGCACAAAACTGAGTATGGCGCTTCGAATAACACGTTTAAAATTGTATGGCGTGAGGGCAAATATGTCCAACCTAAGGCGATCTACTGCTCTTTCCATCCGTATGATTGGAGAATTCTTATAAGAGCTCATATTGTAACCGAGGAGGAGGAATATGCAAGTTAATTCTTGAGACAAGATATGAGGAGTCGAAATAACCATTGACCAACCTGAGCAGGAAGTGAACATCACTACAATATCTACGCTGCTGAAACATGGACATATGGTAGATTTGGCAGGCAGACAAATAATCTGTATAAGGATGCCGGAATCGATAGGAAAGGTATTTCAGAAACATGATCTGAACTTTCTATCCTATTAACATAAATATCATAGTGAGGATTCCAAACAGTGCTTCTGAAACATAAAACACTATTTACAAAAACATTATACATAGAAATTATAGGCAATGCTGTTAGATCTAGCCACAACTTCATCAACGTGTTGATCAAAAAGTAATTTATTGTCCAAAATGATACGATACCTAAGTCTTTAATAGAATCGACACGATGCAGTACATCAGACCTGATACCTATCAATATCTAATCTAACATCCCTCAACGTAGTCCAGAACATCCCTTAATAAAGTCTTCGATATATGTCAACACAGTCTCAAATATATCTCAATATCATGTCTGGTCACCTTTTGGAAAGCTTATTTCAACCATACTTTCATATCTCTCAATATTATTCCTAATACTTTCCCACAAAATCATAAGCATCCCAAAATATAGTTTTGGATAACACTCAGTGTTGTCTCAAACTTCAAATTATGTATGTTTTAGCCTTAGAATCTCCCCGGCTACCTCGCAATAACATCCTTATCATTCTTCTGCATTATCTCAATCTTGTCCCTGCCTCAAATCCCTAACCATTCTTCAATAGTATACCTCACATCCTTCAACATCCTTTGTACATATCCCTTTGTGTCGTCGTTAGCATACATACGTCAAAATCGTTTTAGACATCTTTCAGTATCATTCATTATGTCGTCCCTAGTAGACTTTAACATCCATAGTATCCATTAACTTCGTTCTGGACTATAGTCCAGAAGATGTAACAAGATGTAACCGAGATATTGAGTATACTCAATATTTGTTTTTATAAAAAATGTTTTACCCTAAAATAACTTTCAATAATGTGTATTCGAAGTGCCAAATTTTAATGTTAAGCTGTACTGGGAGCTTATTGTTGAATTCTTTGAATTTACAGTTATGCCCGATAGTTTGCAAATTTATAGAGTTGATGGAGAGTTTAGGTCTATTATATAGAAGCTGAGTGAACTAATTATCAAGAAGAATATGATCTGGTCGCTAATTATGGTAGTGATGGCTCGACTTGATTTCTTGAAAATTAGTTTTACTGCCTTTATTCATGCATTTAAAGTGAAAACTGATACGTTGTGCGTTGTCTTTTAATACTTGGTCTTCGTGCAGTGTAGTGGGATTACATAGAATCAAAATCTTTCTAATTATATTTCTTAATTGAATTTAATTGCTACATGTATTTAGTAAACTTGATCGTGTGAGTCAGGCTTTAAGTCTGAATTGCATTCGCACAGCCTACTTGTCAATCGTTTTGGGACCGTTTTGTAAAATAAAAAAAAAAATAAAGAAACAACCGACGACGACGACGACGGCGGTCGGCCGACTCTATATACTTATATACACCTATCTCGTTTTAACGCGGTGTTTTTGTCTTTTTTTTTTCTACACGGGGCTCGCCTCTCAGTTTCGCCTGCTGCCGCCGCGTACATGTACGTGACGTGCTATCAAGTGTCTCACACCGAGGAGGGAGCCATATTGGCCGTTTTACGTCGTCGTAGTCGTCAGGTAACTAGATCGACCTTATTTCGAAAAATTCGTCAATTCGAATCGGCTCGTATTATAAATTAAATTCGAATGGATCGTGAGAGTCGGGATGTTTATGAAATTGAATCGTCGCAAATTCGTAAATGGGGGCCCCTCGATTTCAATCGAGCGAAACTCGGACGGCATATTTCGTTGCTGGTAGAACTCGCGAATGTAAATTAATGAAGCCCGTCGTGATTGTTTGAGCGCATGCGCTCTCAATTTTCGGAGTGTTGCCCAACCCGGTGAGCAACTAAAACGACCGCGACGTGTTACGATGCACATTGAACGGCACAAGACGTAAAACATGGCTACCATTCGATGACATCTATTTAAATAAATAGTTCATAACATTATTTTTTATTTAATTAATTAATTAATATTTAAAGTTGTTATTTTAAATTATTAATCGAGTTATCTTAACGATAATTAAGTTTTATTAGCGGTGTTATCGTTTAATTAACAGTAGGTTTTTTTATTAACCGCTTATTCTTTGTTAATATTTTACATAAACGGTTTACTTAAATACTTAAAAGTACATTTAACTTGGTTCAATAAATTATTTATACAGTGTGTTGCAAAATTATGGAATGAATTCAATTTTGGTTTTTCAAAATACACATCACTTCCCGATAGTCATTTGTTTTTAAATTATGACATAAACAAATTAATTTTGCCGCACACTGTATATTCTAATTATGTAAGGATTACAACATATTTACACGAAACGGAGTCAATCCACTTCTACCAACAAAACTGATTAGTTAAAGTCCGACGATCAGAGATGGCATCTGAAACTCTATAATAATCCGTAGCCCTCTTGACGACTACGAACGCCGTCAGCGTGAAAATGTTTCAAATAAGCCCTTTCCTCTCGACGATGCGGATCGAAGCGAGCAGCCGTGTTGCTGCTGCTCTCGCTCAAGGACACGGCGCGATCGGGAATTTAGAACACCGGCATCGAGTGAGCGCTGCCGGGGTCGCGTCGCTATATCCATCTCACTTAGTTTCTCGTCTCACTTCGAGATCTATCTTTATCTAGAGTGTTTCTCTGTTTTACCACCGCTATAACACGAGAGAGTGGCCCGTGACTTCGCCGTTTTAGCCGTTTTCGCAGTGGGCCGAGTCGATCGTAGCCGCCCGCCGCCTGCGATGTTGACGCTTTAACAAGTTCATTGCTCGGCGAGACAAAGTCCGTTTTACACGATAGAAAAAAAAATTAAAAACGATAAAATTATAAAAAAATTTCCAAAATTTTAAATCGCTTTAAAAAAAAAATTTGTCATATATTTTCGTTTAAAATCGTCACTTCGAGGACGGTTAAAGTGTATAGTTATTTTCGTCGCGTATCTAAAGGTCACGATGGTTCGCTTAGGCGTTTTGTATACGAAGTTAATGGAAGGATTGCGGCAACCTCGATAACGATTCGATTTTATCGAACCGATACACCTAAAACGCGACGTTGCCGTTTCTATCGCGTTGAAACGCAAAAATAGAATAAATAATAATCGGATTTAGTACCGTTTTAACGCCGTTTAAAAATTATGAAAATATCAAAGTGTTTA